ACTGACTAGACCTTCTCAGGACACCCCTTTGTGACCTGAGGGGTCCATTCACTACATTTCCTACATGGGAAATGTTCTTTCAATTGTGGTCTCGGACTACGTCAAAATTTTTCTTATTTGTGTCCTATGAGGATTGCTTCCGGCCTACTGTCGTGTTTGGGTCCCATATGGATGGCTTCAGGTTATGTCATGTGGTGTCCTATATGGATAGCCACAGGCTTTGTAGTCGCGAGTCATAGTATAGAATGTTTTTCCTAAACCACGGGGTTCGTAAAACCACTTATATGGATTTTGGCCCTGTTGAGGATATTCCCTGCGCACACTACGCAGGGAATACTTTGAGGGAGGGGGTGGTGTAACAGTTATTTTTTTTACATTTGAATGGTCTTGTTAAAAGCTACATCTATTAGCCGCGTTGCATTGTTGTTGATTTATCTAAGGTAGTTTATAACTACAGTATTGATCTTCTGTGTTCACTGATGTTAAATGTCAAAGTAAAGTGTTGAGTAGGGATAAAGTCTGGAAGCTTCCTGAACCTAGGATATATAAGTCCGGCTTTCTGCCACGGGAGACACTGCTATCTCGTGCCTTCCGATCTTATATAGTGTTTTGATTGCTGTGTGATTTGATTTTCTTAATATATTATCTGTTCAAAGTACCCACACGAAAGTGGTGAGTATGTTCTTAATTCTACTTAAACCTATTTGTTCCTGGAACCTGTTTAATTATATGAGTGCTAATCCATTCGTAGGGTCCCAGATTTCGGGCTCAAGACGGTCAGTCTCAGACGGCGTGCTTGCTCTTTTGTGGCCTTCTGGTACAGACTCAAGTTTCTTGGTACCCTCTGGCAAAGCTGGTGATTGCGCGGCTCACGACGCAAGCGGACAGCCGTACCCAAGAGTTACGTACTTAAACTTATAATTGTAATTTATTAAACTTTTATCCATATCCAATATAAATAGCCGACTCGGGCGGAAGAGGAAGTAACCTCCTGGAGGGACGACGAGGTGGCACCGAGCACCATCAGCTCGGCTCTGACGCGCTCCGCTGCGGTTTTTTTTTTATACCCTCTGATTTTTTTTTTTATTGTAAATTTAATTTTGTTTTGAAATATACATGTATGTATGACTGAGGTGTAAGTTGTTTTCCTCTAAAGAGTCCCGTAGGTTTCCCACACGCACACACTTCTTTTCTCTTAGAAGGCGCCCTGAGGTAATCTCATAGATCTCGCCACTGGGTCAGCCGGTGAGTAGTCCGCCTGAGAAGAAAAGCGGCTACAAATTGGCGACCAACGTTTGGCCAGTGATCCAAAACCTCTGTGTGTGTGCTGTGTGAGGGTGCCTGAGGGTATTCACTTTGGAGGAGACACTTCCCTCCGTCCGATACTCCCCAGGACGTTAATTGGTTGTGCGGGTGCAGTACGCATGTAATAATTTTACCCTCATTGTATTTTCAGCCTATCGTACCATCATCCCTGAGGCAAGGAAAATCAGTGAGACACCTAAATTCCAAATTTAACTCAAAATTCTTACTGCACATATTTAGGGTAAGTTTTGAAACATTTTTGGCCTAACTAAATTTTTTTTTTCTTCTTTTTCCTTTTTTTGAGTTAGCTACTTCTGTTCGTACCTTTGAGGTCCGTAGCGTGAAGTTGTGCATACGTGTATATTCAGTGTGTTTTTTTATCCCAGTACTACTGGTGTAATTTACATGAAACTTAACTTAACTTATAAAGTTTATGTACCCTCCATTTTTTATATAACCTCTTGGCTTAAAATTAGAATAAAATAGTTTTGTGATATACATACCCTACTTAAAATTTATGTCGAAATAACTTTTATGATAATTAAACTTTGTCAATTCATTGGATTACTGTGTTAATGTTCTAAAGATAATATAACTTGTGTCTTGAATTGTGAAACAAGAATATCTTTGTCTTTAGTTGAATTTGCTTCTCAAGTTTTGAGAAATTACTTGATATTTTAGTATTTTATTACAATATTTGTTAAAAATATTAGTGTGCTTTAGCTTTCTCACACTTAATAGTGAAGAAGTATACTCAGTTTCTACTTTGAAATATTACTTGATACTTTAATATTTTATTATAATATTTGTTAAAAGTATTAGTTTGCTTTAGCTTTCTCACACTTAATGGTGAAGAAATATACTCAGTAGCAATATTTTTACTTTGAGATATTACTTGATGTTTTAATATTTTGTTATAATATTTTTTAAATATTAATTTACTTTAAACTTCTCACACTCTGTTGATAGTGAAGGAGTCTACTCAATATCATTATTTTTTATTTTTTTGAACTGTAAAAGACATTAAGTCTGCATTACTGGTTTGTTAACTTGTTAAGATTATTTTTGTATAATCGAATTTGAATTGTAAACCACCATGGCACATGTACGTAAGTGCATTAACTGTCTTAAAATTGATGAACTTATTAATGAACTGTCTTCCATGGGGATTTCAGCGAATCCTGAGGATACGGTTGTCGGATTGCGAAGTGAGATGCGTACTGCTTTGCGGCTTATCCGGCGTGGCCGCTTTAAGGCCATCGCCGCTGTTCCTGCCTTTTCCGCCTCTGACATGGTCTGTCAGCGGGCTTAAGGTCTTTGAACTGGAACAGGTTTTTTCTTCAGGTGACTCCGTTTCGTATTATAAATTGTCTTATTAGAGTTGGGGCTAGATACCTTCTAGATAGGTTAGCCGGTGTAGTTATAACTGACTAGACCTTCTCAGGACACCCCTTTGTGACCTGAGGGGTCCATTCACTACATTTCCTACATGGGAAATGTTCTTTCAATTGTGGTCTCGGACTACGTCAAAATTTTCTTATTTGTGTCCTATGAGGATTGCTTCCGGCCTACTGTCGTGTTTGGGTCCCATATGGATGGCTTCAGGTTATGTCATGTGGTGTCCTATATGGATAGCCACAGGCTTTGTAGTCGCGAGTCATAGTATAGAATGTTTTCCTAAACCACGGGGTTCGTAAAAACCACTTATATGGATTTTGGCCCTGTTGAGGATATTCCCTGCGCACACTACGCAGGGAATACTTTGAGGGAGGGGGTGGTGTAACAGTTATTTTTTTTACATTTGAATGGTCTTGTTAAAAGCTACATCTATTAGCCGCGTTGCATTGTTGTTGATTTATCTAAGGTAGTTTATAACTACAGTATTGATCTTCTGTGTTCACTGATGTTAAATGTCAAAGTAAAGTGTTGAGTAGGGATAAAGTCTGGAAGCTTCCTGAACCTAGGATATATAAGTCCGGCTTTCTGCCACGGGAGACACTGCTATCTCGTGCCTTCCGATCTTATATAGTGTTTTGATTGCTGTGTGATTTGATTTTCTTAATATATTATCTGTTCAAAGTACCCACACGAAAGTGGTGAGTATGTTCTTAATTCTACTTAAACCTATTTGTTTCTGGAACCTGTTTAATTATATGAGTGCTAATCCATTCGTAGGGTCCCAGATTTCGGGCTCAAGACGGTCAGTCTCAGACGGCGTGCTTGCTCTTTTGTGGCCTTCTGGTACAGACTCAAGTTTCTTGGTACCCTCTGGCAAAGCTGGTGATTGCGCGGCTCACGACGCAAGCGGACAGCCGTACCCAAGAGTTACGTACTTAAACTTATAATTGTAATTTATTAAACTTTTATCCATATCCAATATAAATAGCCGACTCGGGCGGAAGAGGAAGTAACCTCCTGGAGGGACGACGAGGTGGCACCGAGCACCATCAGCTCGGCTCTGACGCGCTCCGCTGCGGTTTTTTTTTATACCCTCTGATTTTTTTTTATTGTAAATTTAATTTTGTTTTGAAATATACATGTATGTATGACTGAGGTGTAAGTTGTTTTCCTCTAAAGAGTCCCGTAGGTTTCCCACACGCACACACTTTTTTTCTCTTAGAAGGCGCCCTGAGGTAATCTCATAGATCTCTCCACTGGGTCAGCCGGTGAGTAGTCCGCCTGAGAAGAAAAGCGGCTACAAGCCATGTTCAGTACTAGTATGAGTCTTATAGAAAACCGGTGTTCATGTTCTTTGACATTTATATTTTAGTGTGAGTGAGTAAGACTCATGATTTACTGATGTTGATGACCATTATAGTGACCCCAGTGCTTCATTTCCCCTAAACCATAACAAAAAAACGGTGTTAGGGGTCAATGGAGCCCGGTCGGAATGAAGTTCCTTTCCCTTTTTGGTAGACAGCTATAGTCATTATAATTTATATTACGGAATAAAGAGCTAAATTGAAAAGTTTATTATAAAATATATTTATTATATATAAAACAAATAATGATAAATTAAACACTGAATGATCTGGGATAAGTGTTAATAACAAATTAAAATTTACTAACTGTATGGTTTTTATTTTATTAATAATACTTTTTTAATTTAGAAATAAGCATTAATTATTTACTATAAAAATTAAAAAAGACTAAATCATTTTTTCAACCACAGTAATAACTGGTTTGTCATAAGAACAAGAAGTGTCTGTAAAAAGTCTTGTTACACATTTTTCGGACTTGCTCCCATCCTCTGTGTGTAACGCGCGATAAGGAACTTCGTTCCAAAACTCAATTCTCTTTATTTCATAAAAAAATTAAAATTGTTTGAAATAGTTACTCGTTATCGTTCTTTTATGTAGACTCTCAAATCATAGATCAACACACACAAGCAACAATCTCTGTTTTGTCAAATAGTAAGCAAATTTAACAAAAATCAAACCCATACAAAATCTATGATATGCTTGTGCCGATCTACAACCGCCCGTTTCTAAGAGCCTCATGGCCACTCTTTTGCAATTGACACATAGATACAATGGCACTATTAAATATGTGGAATTCAAAAGGATTCTATTCAAAGACACAAAGTTTTCCCTGTCTCAGGTAAACAAACAACAATCTAATATGCAAAATAACAATTTATTATAAAAATAAAATTCAATCCCCTAAATCTACATATAGTAATACTTAAACAGACATCATGATATAAAATAATGTTTAACTCTAAGATTCCAATTGTCTTCCCATCTTGTCTTCTGAAAGACACCTAGTTCTTCCCTCATCCTCTCAGCCAGAGCATTTTGTTTTGCATTATTAGGAAATTCTTTGAACCAGTTGACAATTTTTTTAGCTAATTCATCACTATTTTTAAATGTATATCCATTTATACCGTCTTCAACTAGCTCATCTAAACTGTGAGGAAAAAAAAAAAAGATCATTATAGTTGAGCTCGCAAATATAAGACATGTGGACCCCAAGGCATATGATAGATTAGACTGCAAGGAGCTGGAACAGGTCTATCAGTATCATCAAGAGCCTTTAACAGTCCACTGCTAGACATAGGCATCTCTGTAGAAAGGAGGTTTTGGCCAGCGTAGTTTGCTCCCTTAGTCGGTCTTTACGACAACCACGGGATACTCCGTATTCTTAATCCGTCACTACATGGACAACACAGGTCTATGTCAAAGGTTAAACAGCGTGAATATAAAAATCATTTTCAAAACAAATTTATGAGTAAATGAAAATGTATTTTTATTAAAACAATATTGACTTCTCATACGACGTTTGAATAACTGGAATGATATTAAATAAGTTAGGAATGAGTATATCCTGGGTTCCTGGGGAATTTACAAACATATATGAAACACAAAGAACACCCAGACACAGAACAACAATTTGTGGATCCCACAAAGTGTAGTCCCATGTGGGGATCGGACCCACAGCACTCCAGCGTAATTGTAAGCGGCGTCGCGACCACTTAAACCACTACGCCATTCATGCAGTCATTGGTTTGAAAGGTAACTATTTTATTTAGTTTTTTAGCTATGAACTATAAAAAGTGAGGCAGTCTACTCTTATCTAGATGTAAAAGAGATTTTTAAGTTACTGGTGTTCTAATTTATTCTTTGATGACCACTTACCACAGGAAATCAAAGGCACAAACAGGAAGCCCTGCTCCAAACATGTCCACAACCTTCATCGGTAGATCTAGGCCTGAAGAGCTTGTGTGAAAACAGAGACCTAAATCTGCACTAGCCACCATTGTAGGATAATCTGCTGCTTCTAGCCAGGGTGCAATGACCTTTATGTGTTTCCATTGTTTTTGTTCTATCACCTCTAGATAATGGTTTTTCATGGGCCCTTTTCCCGTAACAACACAAACAAGCTTAGGAAGATTCTTGGCTGTATCATATGTAGTTTCGTAAACTGCAAATTGAAATGAGCAATAATTTTGTATTAGTTTTAGTACTTTTAGTAATAAGTGTATTAGATTTATTGGCAAATGTTTAATTATGATTATTACTAGCTGGTGCCTGCGGGACTGGAATTTGAAAAGCGCTGAATGAGGGAGTTCGATTCACAGAACAGGCAAAATTTTATAGGATTTTTCTGAGAGAAAAAATAGCCTAAGTTAATCCTTATATAGACAGCTACTTGGTAGTAAAATATCAAAATCAAACAGACAGAAAGACAAAAAAACTGGTTTTTAGGCATAAGGATTGTACAAATTACTGTGTAAGCATGAAAGAAACCTATTTGTTTTACATTACAAACTTTATTATTTGTAAAGATTAACATTGCTTGTGACGTCTCATCCTTCATGTGGTAGGTTTATGTATAACATAAATTAAGGAAACAAAAATAAACATGCTACTAATACTGACCCTGAAAAGCATCTATCATTATTCCAAAGTCTTCATCTGGAGTCCAGCTGCTACTACTAAATAATAGCCCAGGTCTATCTTTCCGAGCCACAACAGTCTTGTCTGTCACTTGGGTAAATGCTGTGCGCGCACTATCCATATTTGTGGTTTCATTCAAGGCCTGTTTACCTGGACCAAACTCAGGGTATTGTGCACTTAACTTTAAGAACCACTCATGTTTTTCCTCTAATGTTATAGGATGAAATATTTTCGGTGGCCTATCATATAGTACTGTGGCCTGCCTGAAAGTTAATAAAAACTAACATATAATATTCTACCACATTCACACAACGCCATCTAGTCCCAAACTAAGCAAAGCTTGTACTGGGGGTACTAGACAACTGATATGAATACATATTTACATTTATATTTTTTTTTTGTAAATACATACTTATTATATATAGTAACACCCAGACCAAATCAAACATTGAATGTTCATGCACACAAATGTTTGACTTGAGCGGGAATCGAAGCTGCGACCTTTGGAATAGCAATCCTTTACACAAACCACTACACCATTAGGTCAATTTGTGCTGCCTCAACTCCTCTTTTGATTTATTATTATTATTTAACTTCAACTTTATTTTTGAACATGACATTACAATCTGTGTCCCCCTAAAACCAGGTTGATAGTTTGACTGGAGGATTTAGTCTATGTACATTTTTCTTATTTAAGTAATTTTCTTAATTAAGTCATTTCAAAACTATAATAGGTAGGTATACACAACCTATTACAACAAATCAAAAAAATACCTTTTAAGTTTCCTCTCAAATACTACTTTGTCTGTTTCTCGCCTTATGTCCAATAATACTTTGGTATTATTTTATTTGGGACAATAAACAGTTCTACAATATACTTATTATCAGTGAAAATTAATAACATAGTAATTACTGCCAACCTAATTATCCATGTTTTATATACTGAATCTTAAATAAATTATAAAATATCCTTTATAATAACAGAAAAACATGTCCTGGACATAGGCCTCTCCTTAACAAACATAAAAAAAAAAAAAAAAATACAGTCAAATTGAGAACCTCCTCCTTTTTTTGAAGTCGGTTAAAAAGGAGGAGGTTGTGGCCCTACTATACCAAGCTGGCCAGACGGGTTCGTTTTCCTTTTCTTTGCAGTGCTGTTGCCTTGCTGATACATAGCCTATGTATCAGCTATAAATTATGTGCATCATCTAAGCCTTTGTAGTTTTTAAACTGTATTCATCATCATCATCAGCCTATCGCAGTCCACAGCTGGACATAGGCACGCCACTTAAATCGATTTTGGACTTCTTAACTGTATTAATTGTTACATTATGTAATTAATACACAACATATTATTCAACATTTAATTAATGTACATACATATTCAAAACTCTATTCGTCATACTAACTTTAAATTCCAATGTGTTAATAAATCTTCTTTCATTGAATAAGTGACACATAAGTTATAATCAGCTGATTGACCAAAGAACTTCTCAATGGCCCTCGCTAACCTCACTATTATGTGATCTGCAGAGTACGACATAGCCATAATCGAGTAGGCATAATTATGCCAGTCTATAATAAACTTGGTTCTAGTAAACAAACAGTAAAAACGACAGACTGGTAAAGTCGGAATTGCTGGGGGATTTTGGCATAACACATAGTCACCATTTCCAGTGGTAAATAGTGTAAACAACAAACTTATAGTCTGCCATATAACTTTGGCAACATATCTCGCCAATCTAGGAGCTCCGTTAAGAGATAAAGGATGGAGTTTGTGAATCTTGATGTGAGGATGTTCTGAAATTTCCGTCAGCGGTTGAGACTCCAAATAACCAATAATTTGTACTTCTAGACCGTTATTCGCTAGTGATAACGCATGGTACTGCATACGTGGACTTCTACCGATGTCTCCGAGTACCACGACTTTTGCTACCTTACGTTCTACTTGAGTGTCCATAATGATGGTTATTTAACATCCACTTCACAAAATTTGGATGGTCAGTTCATTAAAATATCTTCCTATCATTCTTTTACAGCTTTCTTTTAAACTGTCAGTTATCACTTTTCACTATCACTGGTTACAACTTTACTATGCTCTTGAGCATAAGAAAACATAATAGCACCTAAGTTGTTATTGGGTTGTTTATATGCATAATTATGGATACTTTACAACTATTCTGTAGATGATGTAGATGTAAGTAAAAATGTTATAACTTTCAGCTTAATATTTATCTTTAATATTTTATTATGTTAAACATAAAAAAACCGGGCAGTAGATTGCAAAACGAAATATCAAAACCAGCTGATTAGTGCTGTCGCGAATGTCACGATACCATAGTCTAGTCTACTGTTGGTTCTCATTCAATTTTAGTAAATGAATCATGCCCTCGAAATGGTCCGATAGAAATTATCACCTATAGGTACCATTAATAGAGTACCATTATGATCTCAAAATATTATCATCATCATGATGATGATAATTATTAAAGATAATAATTACAGTAAAATAGAATACGGCTATTGAGTTGAAAGTCATCAAATCAAATGTCTCAGTTAGTTTTAAAATATGCATCATCATCATGGGGTGCCATCCTCAAAATTAAGTTTGGAGGTCAGCAGACGGTACACCTCTCGATCATGAGCGGCTAAAAAAAATATGCATGCACTTTTGAAAATATAATATAATGTTTTTTTTTTTAACGCTTTTAACTTAAGTATGAATATCTGGCAGGAAATTAAATTGACCAAACACTGAATGCTGTGGAATTAGCACTTTATGGGTTAATTTAGCATGTCTTCAAGCGATGTAGCATGAAAAGATTCATTTTACCACTAGTCTTTTTCCTGCTACTTTGTATTAAGTGACGCAGATATCGTCATGATAGTAGAATAATGTCGGTTTTGAAAAAAATACGAAATTCAGTTTTGACCATATTTGGATACTACATTGTCTAAATAGTATTACTACATTCAAGATTTTTTATAATGTATTTTAGATTTTCAATTATTCAGTCGGTAAACTGACGGATTTGATAGAATAGAGGCTCAAAGTAAAATGAAGCTTGTGACTTTCTACAAAATTGTGTTTTAAAATACAACTAATAGTGGTTGTTATTTTTATTGCATTTTAAAACAAACCCTATTTTTCACTTGTATACCAATTTTTATGATTGTATGCCCTGTAAAGTTTAATTATTAAAATAAACTTAGTTTCAAACCTTCCATGGTGTTTCATTACTGGCATTAAAAAAAGATGGACTAAAAATCGGTAGATTTGTCATAAAATATTTTTTGAACTGGCAGGTCTGATTTCACTAATTTTGACAACTGGACCTGAGTTGTCAAGAAGACAGAAGAATCACAATCATAACAAATAAACACAATTAATTTGTTAGCTTTAGTGAGCTTTTTAGAATTATAAACGAGTTACCAAAATGTCTAAAGTGCTAATGATAAGACATTTGCCGTCTTCACTTTCATTAAAAGACAAAGAACAACTTTTAAAACACTTTGGGGCTGAAAAAGTTTGGGAAACAAGATCCAAACGCAATTATCTTTTTGCTTCTTTTAGCAATGTTGAGAGAGCGAAAGCATCACTTACACGGCTACATCAGCTTGAAATAGCCCAGAGAAGATTAGTTGTGGAGTATTCTTACGACAAGGAGCCGGTGACGAGTAATAAGCCGGGAATAGAACAAAACTCGGAAACAACCAAGTTAATAAAAGAGTTTCTGAAGACTTTAAATGCTTGGAATCCATCAGTGGATTTTTATCAACCTCCCCCAGCACATTTAAGCTATAAATATCCAGATATTACTCCAGAAATAGCAGTAAGTGTGGTTCATGCACTGTTTTCTCATAAACCATTCTACGTACAAACTCTTCATTTGATGAATAAAATGTGCCTTGATAATCCTTTTCAAGAGAATATAGCAGCTATGACTGTTTTCAAAGATATATTTAAGAAGTTGTTTTTAAGTGAATTGCAGCAACAAGTGACACAAGTACCTCAAAGTGAGACAGAATCTGAAATATCTTCTGCAGAAGACGAACACAAGACACAACCAACACAAATAGTTATCAGAAGGAAGCGAAAACTGCCTGTTCCTAAAGTTCGTCCGACTAGTGTGTTATCTGCACCGACACCACCTAAATTGAAAAAAGTGGTTATAAGCCAAGAAGAAGCCTTTGAAACAGTCACTCCAATAATAGAACCAAAGAAAATATTAGTTAATGTCCATCAAGATGCATTACAGAAACCATCTGAAGATCCAGAAGTAGTGGGTGAACTTGGTAAATTCCAGAAAGAGGAACAACCAGTTGAAGTTGAAGAGAAACAGCCGGAGCCAGAGCAACCAACCATAACTAAAAAAGAACTTCTGCGTAATAGGATATCATACAGTGATATGAAAATATTGCCAGTATTCAAAAATTATCATCCAGGAGAACCATCAATGAGGTTATACATAAAAAATTTGGCCAAGTCAGTTACAGATCAAGATGTTAAGAGAATATATAAGCGTTATGTAGAAAAAATGACAGATGAGGAATTGACTGGATTTGATGTACGAGTTATGCAAGAAGGAAGAATGAAGGGGCAAGGGTTCGTGACATTTCCCTCTGTGAGGATAGCAGAAACAGCCCTGAATGAAACAAATGGATATTTATTGAAAGAGAGACCAATGGTTGTGCAGTTTGCCAGGGCTGCCAATAAAAAAACAATTGAATGAAATAAGTTTTATTTTATTTGCAATGACAGTATTTAATCCTTCTTGTGATGGTATCTCGTTTACCTAGGGCAACCCTAAAAGCAGTTTCTATTGTTCAGTTTCAGTAAATGATTAAATAGCTATATAATTAATAATTTTGGATTATGTAAATCCTCCATAGTGATCTTGTTAGTAAAATTGCTTTTTTGAAAGTATGTTATTGTATAAATGTACATTATACCTACTGACCTGCGCAACTTCGTCTGCCTCTGTACCTAAAATTATTAGGTACAAAATCATAACCCAAAGAAAACCCTATTTATTTAAAAAGTATTATACAAAGGGATATCGTAAATCCATGTTAGAAGAATTATCTTTTTTTTTTTTGTGTGGATATGTCGGAGGGTGGGTATGTCGATCTCGAACCGACCAATACTCGCACGCCGACTCGGGTAAAAGGATTTGAATCGGAGGCAATGTAAGCACTATTCTGCTCTGCACCATATCCGAGAACCACTAAAGGTTGATTTGAGAGTTTTTTAACATCAAATAAATTGAGAATACCCCATTGGCCTAAATACCTATGTTCCCTGAGTTTAGAAAAATCGTAATTATTAAATTTGAATCGTAATAGTAGCTAATTAATCGCATTACCTGGGGGAGCAGGGGGTTAAACTTTGGACCCCACCATCAAGGTGAGATTAAAAAACACATTAAAATTAAAAATTATATTTGCATTAATTCAATAGTATATGTCATAGAATCCTCATCACTTTCAATAACCTCACCAGATAGTAATTTATTTATTAATGGCAATAAATCACTAACATTGTTCAACTGATTTATAAGATTCAGAACCGTATTCAATGTGTTTTGTAAAACGAATGTCACCTTATCATCTTTTGTCATGAGATACTGCTGGTGGAATGCATCCATGAGTAATATGCACCAGTCAAATAATTTACTTTCATAGTCTACATCCATAGTTTTCTCCGAGTTAACCAAAATATGTGTTATGTACGTTAATAAAAAAAGTGTGTCGTCTAAGCTCACATTATTTCTCAAATGTGGGATAATTAGAGCATCACTGAATGATATCTGCAGGGTATAATTAAATAGTTCAAACTTAGCCTTGTGAACAATCTGTTCTTTCTTGGTTTTATTTTCACTTGAAAGTAATTTCAGTATCTCATCTGCATTACTGATGTCTATTTTGCTTGGATTTACTAGTTTGATACAATAACTAAGTAACGCTACTAGAACTGATTCTGGGATGTCATTAAATTGCTTGATCATTTGATAAACAGCTCTGAAGTCACCTTTTTCTAATAAAGGCGGTATAACATTGCTGCACATACTTCTTTCGGTGACTCCTAATTTCAAGAGATCTTTGATTTCATTATTAACTTTAAATTGCAATTCAGTTGGTGAATCCCAGTCTGCAATTTCCATACACTCATCTTGGATGACCTCATGTGACCCGAGAAGACTTGACAGATTTCTCTTTGTCTGTAATACATATGGCAGCATGCCTACATGATTGGAAGCCTCAAGAATGATTCGTCCGTAGAAGCAATATAATTTTGCATCTTCCGAATACATTTTCATGGGGTATCTGCAAGATCCAACTCCCAGGACTATGTTATAGGCTACAATAATAGCCCCATCTTGTTCTGTGTTGCTTCCAAATAATATAAGATGGTCTTTGCCCATCCAGGCAAGTGACACACTGGAATGGGTTGATATCCATGGTACAGTGCCTACAGTCTTCCAGTCTTTGAAGTTGTATACCGTCATTTTTCCATCACTCCCTGGAATTAATAAATGATATTGTTTATATCAGAAATATATTTACATAAAATTAGCCTACAAAATGAATTAGGAATTCTTCTTCTTCTTCCTTTAATTTAGTGGCTCCATCGGATGTCGATGATTTTGCCAATGTCTAGGTGGGAGGTAGATTTATTAGTTAATAGGTTGAAAATATTTTGAATACCAAAAGGGAATTGTTGTGATTTTAATAGTTTCTGTTTGTGGTTCTGTGGGACAGTAGAGAAAAAAGAAAAAGGACAGTAGAAAAAAATATAGCAGTAAAGGTATTAGGAAACTTTATAAATTTATTTTATTTATACGAATGAAATGGTAAAGGATCCTGACAAATGGGGTATATACTAGAGTTAATAGATAAGCCAAATTAACGGGTCGGGATATTTGTTGAGGGAGTAGATCATACAGAGGTACAACCAATTTAGGACAAGAAAAGAAAATATGTTCCAGAGTGCCTTCATCGAGACCACACTCACATAGAGAGTGATCACGAACTCGAATTTTGGCAAGAAAAACTGGGGTACTGACAAATCCTAATCGTAAACGAATTATAGTAGAGGTGGCTGACTTATTAACATGTTTTTGTTTGAAGAACCAGGATCTAGCAGGAATTAAGGGTTGTAGAGAGCCGTAAAATTTACCCTTGATCATTCTACTGCTTTGCCATGTGTTATTCCAGGACTCAGTCAATGAAAGTTTGGCTAGGGAGCGCAGATCTCGGGCGAAGCAGAATTTGTGGCTAGCGCATCCGGTCTGAGCTGCTATTTTGGCGCAGGAGTCCGCAGTTTCATTGCCTGCTATACCTGAATGACTGGGGATCCATGCTAGAACTACTTCAATACCAGACAATAGGCATCTGTGAAGAACCTCTTTAATTTTAAGAATTATAGGGAAATTATTGCGAGCTTTGAAAGGATTTTTTAAAAGATCTTGATGGCAGCTCAAGGAGTCTGACAAAATAAGGGACTTATCAAGCTTATGAGATTCCACATAGGAGACCGCTTCTAATAAGGCAATAGATTCTCCTGAAAAAATAGAGTTGTAGGAAGAGCATTTATAACTTAGTATAATTTTAAATTTGGGAATCCAAACTGCAGAACCAACAAAGGCATCTGAAGAAAGTTTTGATGCATCTGTATAAAGCGTAACCCAATCAGACCAATCCTCCGCAATGATGTGGAGAAAGTTTTGGTTGGCTGCCGGAGAATGTTTATTGATGCCAAAGTCAAGGATGATTTTTGGTAGGAAGGTTAACGCATTATAGTCAAGCTCAAAAAGAGGATTTAAAGAAGATTGAAGGATAGGATCAGATAGATTTTTCATTTTAATAAAGGAATTAAGGAGCAAAGGGATAGACTTGTGTCTCCAGTACAATGAGATAGTGGTCAGACTAGAAAGTTGAGACAGAATTGGAAGAAGGGGATGGGAATTAATTTGGACTGCATTAAAGAAGTATCTGTCAGCTAAGAATTGGCGGCGAAGATGAAGGGGAGGTTCCAAGCATTCGACTTGGAGGGCATTCACTGGAGAGCATTTCATAGCACCAGTTATGATTCGAAGGCACTTAGACTGGATCAGCTGAAGCTTAGACAGAGCACCTCTATTACATGGTTCCAGAAGGAAAGAACCATAATCAAAGTGACTCCGAACTATGGCATTGTATAAAAGTTTTTGGCAAAAGGGGTGAGAGCCCCAGCGAACCCCAGATAAGGCCCGCTTAACGTTCACACCCCCCTCGCTCTTTTTAATAACATGGTTTAGATGGTGAATACCAGATAATTTAGAATCAAGAATGAGGCCTAAAAACTTTATGGAATCTTTTATTGGAATTAGTTCGCCTGCTACAGAAAGGTTGATATCAGGGATATTACGTTTGCGAGAGAAAACAAGAGCACTACATTTAGAAACAGACAGAGAAAGATTGTGGTCCAATAGCCAAACGTTTAAATAATACAGAGCGGAATTCAAACGGGAAGTGGCAGTAGAGAAGGAGGATGACGAAAAATATATGGCAACATCATCAGCATATTGAAGAACTTTACAAAAAGAACTGACAGACTGGTCTAGGTCGAAAGTATAAATATTATAAAGAATGGGACTAAGCACTGAACCCTGCGGAAGGCCCTTCCATACAAGACGAGGAGGGAGAAAAGAACCTTGATGACGAATAGAGATAGTACGACACATGAGCATATTGCAGATGACGTGAACCATCCTCGCTGGAATACTCAGATGTAGCATTTTCTGCCTGAGAAGAGGAAGATGTACATTGTCATAGGCTGCAGAGATGTCCAAGAAAACACCGATTACATTCTCGTTACGAGAAAATGCAAGGCGAATTTCAGAGGAGAGGATGCTGAGGCTATCTAAAGTGCCTAAACCTTTTCTAAAGCCATACTGGTTTTTGGCTAACAATTCGTTGTGTTCTAGAAACCATTCGAGTCTGAATTTAATTAAGGTTTCCATTATTTTAGCTAGTACTGAGGAGAGCGCAATAGGGCGATAGGAAGACGAATTTCTGGGATCTCTACCAGGTTTCAGAACAGGAATGACAATTTGGGTCTTCCAAGATTCAGGTATTTGACCATAATAAAAGATGGCATTGAGGATACTGAGGAAGAAAATTTTGGAAGAATTGGAGGATTTACGAATAAAAGAGTAAGGGATACCGTCAATGCCGGGAGAGGAATCATGAAGATTATCTAGAGCAAAGGATAGTTCTGTGAAAGAGAAGGGATCATCCATGGTATTTTGAGAGGAATCTGGAATAAACGGATAGGCAGGTGGGAAACAATCGAAACCTGGAGCATATGGAGGAGCCAGTTGGCTAAGGAAGTCGTGCAGGAATGAATGAGGGTCATTGCTAGAGATATTTGTTACGTCAAGACTTTTTCGGAATGACTTGAATTTTTTCCAGACAAGTGAGAGACTAGAGCGAGGAGATAAGGACTCACAAAATGAACGCCAACCTAAAGATTTTTTAGCAGAAAGAAGTCTAGTTGTGCTAGCAGCAATTTTTTTGAAATTGAGGAAATCCGACATAGAAAGGGATGCAGCAAATTTGTTCTCAGCCTCCCTGCGCTTCTTAACACTGGCAGTACATTCAGAATCCCACCAAGGGGGAGAAGCAGTCAATTTATTGGAAGGAAGTTTGAGGGGAATAGAGCAATCAGCAGCTGAGTTAATTGCAGAGATAAATTGGTCATAGAGGACAAGAAAATTAAAGGAATTTGTTTGAGGGAGAGTGGTTAAATTTTGATCTAGTGATGTTGCAAATTGCTCCCAATTGGCTTGGGAAACTCTGTATTTGAGGAGGGGTTGTAGGGTTTGGGGAACATATGAAGTAGAGGGGAAGTATGAAATTAAAATAGGGAAGTGATCACTACCAAGGGAGTTTGGCAGGGGGGACCAGGATAGGAGGGAGACTAGGGAAGGAGAAGATAGTGTTAAATCTGGAACACTAATATTTTGGCATGGAGAAACTCTACGAGTTGCGGATCCATCATTAAGGATGCACAAGTTGCAATCATCCATAACGTCAAGTAAGACAGAGGAGCATGAGTCAATACAGTGAGATCCCCATAGAGTGTGACGGCAGTTAAAGTCTCCTAAAACAATCATAGGGGAGGGGATAGTTGAAAGAATTGTTTTTAATTCAAGAAGAATGCTTGTGTTGGGATGGGGAATATAGACAGAGACAAAGGAAACATTAAAAGCTCTGAGGGCCACTATATTTAAGCCAATAGAGTGGTTTGGTAATAAGATTAGAGAGAATGTAATATTCCTATTGACCAATAAGGCACAACCAGCATAACCATCACTTCTATCATCCCGAAGACAAGAGAAACCAGGAATTCTAAAATGGAATTCAGGCTTTAACCACGTTTCGGAAACTGCAAAAACAACAGGTTTATGTTGATTGATCAAGTAAGAGATATCTTGTTTGTTACGTCGGATACTCCTACAGTTCCATTGCAGGACCTGGAGAGCCATTGGAAGCATTATTTTTTGTGATAACAGAAAGTAGTTGTTCAACAAGAACTGCAACGTCGTACGGTAAGGCATCTGACATTTTAGACAGCATGTTAATTAAAGAGCAAAGAAGGAGCTGTACAAGATTGTCATTAGGAGTAGCAAGAGGAGTTGTTTCAGTAGGGGGGATAAGACAACAACCATTAGGGTGGATAGAAGTTGGGGACTGAGTAATTGTATTATGGGCATGAATATCATATGTCTTCCCAGACATAGATATACGGCGAGGGGGAAGGTTAACTGTTTTTTTGTATGATTTAGAGGGAGAAGCAGATGGGAGAGGTATGATGGATGGATGAGTTTGAGGGTTTAGAGGGAAATTAGCAGGGGATTTGGGACTGGCAGCAGCCTCAGAATATAGCCGCTTGGCAAACTGTGGAAATCTAGCTGATGCTTCCATATAGCTAAGGTTTTCCTGAGACATGACACTTTTGATGGATTTTTGTCTGTTGTGTTCAGGACATCTGTTATCAGTAGCACAATGGCTACCACCATGACATAAAAAGCAAGATATCTCCGAGTCAGGAACCAGGCAGGAGTCACCAGAATGCGGCTGAGCACATTTATAGCAGCGGGGCTGGGACCTACATTGTTTGGCAATGTGGCCGAACCGACAACAATTCCTACATTGTATGGTAGGTAACTGGTAAAGCGACACTGGCAGAGATGCATTGAAACAAAAAATTTTTTCTGGCAGACTCTGTCCTAGAAACGTAAGGACCACAGAGTTCGATGGGACCCAAACGGATACTCCATCTTTTCTATTCTTAACATTAAGACGTCTAGCTCGAACAACTTCGCCGCAATTCTTAGGGACAGATATTCCAGATACTAGTTCCTCTAGAGTCCACTCAGTAGGGATATCCCTAACAACACCCATACGAAATACTTGGAAGCGAGGAATATTTGCCACATAATTATATTGTCTGACAATTGGGGAGTTAACAAAATTATTCGCTGAGATAGCAGACATAAATTCCACACAGACTTTGTTACGACCCATATTTTTAATGGTTCCCTCTACAATATCAGGTATTTTGTTTTTGTATAAAAACTGGGCGAGTTTGAGTGCCTTAAGTGACAGGCCGGATGATGGATCAGGTTCAAGCCTAGAAACATACACAGAATATGGACCCTTGTCTGATACCGAGTATTCGAGCCTGGAATCAGACTCAAATCCAGGTTTTGAGAAAATTGACTGAATCGATTCAGCTGGTGAACGTATTTTCTTTCCATCGAAGTCAACGGGAAAGACTGAGTCCGATTGTCGCTTTATAGCTTTGGGTTTATCGGGGGGTAACACACCGCCCCCATCAGGGGGGTCTTCCGCGCTCATTTCCGTAGAAATGAGCGCGGTTGTTAATATTCACTAACCTTGTTAAGGATTATTCCTGCAACAGAACCACACAAACACTATTTCGAAAGCACAATATGAAATTATATGCTAAAATTCAGAAAATAACCTAAAAACTCACTACTGTCGCTTCAACACACCAGAGACCATTCCCCGAATTAGGAATTAAAATGGTCTTTTTGTGCAGAACCTTGGTACACATTAGTACTCTACACTCACAGTTTGTACAGAAGCAGGAAAGCTAGAGAATTAAGAACTTTTATTATATGAAAAATGAGATAATATTACATATAATGGGTGCAATAACCTCACAAAGACTTGGTATAGTTTTTTATGGTATAGGGGGCAAAAGAGGGGTCACCTGATGGTATGTGACTGGCTGGAGGGAGGATGCTGTATTATCACTCTGATTGAGTAATTTAAAGATGAGTATAAAGTTAATCAATGTCAACTCTCAAATTAGAGTTAACACACTTGAAATCCATGACTTATAGTTATTTTTACACTAAAACTGTTTATTTAATATACTTACATAAAACATAAACAGCATTTTTTCCCTCCGTACAAATAAACTTGCCAACAACATAAACATCATCGGGCCTTACAATTTTAGTTTTAGTAAGTTTTGATCGCTCCAAATCACCCAACTCATCTCTTAGTGCACAGTTCAGAATCTCATATTCATCCTTAATATTCTTTACAATATGACATATGTGGTCCGTTTTGTTTATAGTGTAGCAAGCAGATTCAACAATTGTGTCCGTATCTTTTATTAATGATTTATTTTCGTACGTCCTTCGGTTGTCAAGAGCATATGGTAAGGATGCACAGTTGCCGTTACTGAATATCACCAGGGCTGATTGATTGTCCCGTGGCATTACTTTCAAAATATTTATGGGGAACTAAAAAGTAAAAAAATCATTATTTAAGTTGTACAGGATTTCAACCCCTAATAATTCAGGCTGGTTATACAATAAATTCTTTTAGTTCCCAATTTCTAATATTGCTTAATCTCTTTTTAAGCCTGAGGCAGACTACATAAGGTTTTCGTTAACTTTTTATTTTACTCTCTAAGGTATACTAGTGTATTTGGGCCCTCTAGTATTACATTGAGTCTAATAATTAAATATTTAAATGTAAATATATGTATATGCAGCAATGAGGCTCAGAAGGGTTATGATCACACCCAGTGCACATCTCACACACGGCGGTCTGGTCCCAAACTAGGCAGAGCCTGTACTATGGCAACCAGACTGCTGATAAACATACTTATTTAATTCTAATACATGTTTGGATAAATATTTGTATAAATTACACCCAGATACAGAACAAATGATCGTTCTTATCACACAAATATTTGTTCTGGGTGGGAATCGAACCCGCAACCTCTGGCTTAGCAGTCAGGGTCACTAACCACTAGACCAACAGGCCCTATTGCATTAATTCCTATACATATAAATATTTCTAAGAGTTACATACATTCATGCATTCGCATCCACACCCCAAGGGGTAAATAGGCGTATGAAGAAAGTATTAAATACATATATCAATGTATTGTAAACTAATAATAGTCTAATAATATTAACGTTATTATATCATTATTACCTTGTATTTCTTTACTTTATCCAAATTGTCAGAATCTTCTTTCCATGTTTTAATAGTATTTTTATTGAAAACGCAAACATAACTTTCCTGCTCTTTGTCATATATCACAGCTGACGTTATGTGATCCTTGGACGTCCAACCACCAACTTGCTTTTGATCAGAAAGCTGAAAAACAAAATCATCAACATAACCTATAAATTTTGAAAAGTGTTTTGATTAAAATTTTGTCACTTGTTTACAATAATATAAATGTTCAATATGCACTTTAATTATAATTAATATATAGCATAGTTAATTAGTATTGAATAGAGCCTACTTGATATTTATGAACAACATTGCGTCCTAAAGTTACAATAACATGTTCGTTCTCCTTATCTTCGGCGACGCCTAGAAAGCTTTTCTGATCTATTAAAGGACATAATACATAATAATTGTGTAGCTTTGCCATGATTTACAATATGGTCATTGAACTACAACTTTAAGAACTTAAATATATTATTTTGTACAAATTGTACAACTGTTAAACATGCGTTCAACTTTCGGTGTCACTTGTTTCAGTAGTTGTCAATTAGAGTTGTGTAGTTCCTGAGTGAGTGATATAAAAGATATATATCATTCACGACGATAAAATCTATCACTCACTCACACTTGCTCCGAATATATCAGTAACTCACTACTAGCTCACTAGATCACTAAGGCCCGTATTTTAAAAGGTGTCTCAGTCGTGAATCTAGTCTTAAAACTAATTTTAAGTAGAGATTTTATTATTGAACGTCACTTAAAACGAGATTCACCGATCCATACTCAAGTGAGTGATAGCTTATTTTAGAACGATGTTTATGTCGAAATCATTACTCAGGTATAGATTTTGACAGCTGTGATCTTTGTTTACGTGAGACAAGCTGAAACTAGTCTCAAGCGGTGATTTCTAGGGCATTTAGGGGAAATGAATGTGTTTTACGATGATTTCTTTTTGAATAATTACGAAAGATTTACTTTACTTTATTTACGAAAGAATTACTTGGCATACTATCATCAATTTCACTTTCATTTACCTTAATTGATATGAAATTCACCAAAATTCACATGTTACACACACAATACCAGTTTAAATTACCACAACCTTTTGGTTTATATTAAAAGTATAGTAATTTAAATTTTAGAAATATCAAATAAAAACATCGTTTGACATTTCAACATGACAAGTGTTGATATCTTACTTGAACGTTCCGTTATAGCCTATTCATACAGCTAGTCATTTTTATTTTAATATTTATTATACTTAATTTTGAACGAACAACAACCTTGTTAATATGTTAACATTGCTACACTAGGCAATAATATATTATATACAAATTCACAGAAATTATTTTTGTAAAAGAAAATTATTTTTTAAATAATTAGCTGCGTAATGTGGAATAATAGTGTCAATCACGCGGAAACGTAATTGAGAACAGACTGTAAGTTCAAATCAATACCTGTAACTAGTTTCAACTGAGTAAAACTTAAAACGCGTTCTATAATAAGATCGATACTTAAGATTTGATCTGCACTTAAAACTAGTTTCAGGCAATCAGAGTTCAACCGACACTTGAGACGTCTTTTAAAATACGGGCCTTAAACTTTTAGCTCATCGACGCCGATCTTTGTTTCATGAGCGAGTAAGACTAAAGATAAATGAGTGAGATAGATGATGGTTGAGTTCACGCAAGTTTCTTTATGCAAAATGTACATTCTTTTTATAGGATCAAAGTACAAGGAACATCAAATTATGTATGATTTCTATTATACAACCTAAAAAAAGTACAAGAAATAATTTCTTATTTTTAATTATTATATAAAAGGCTGTTAATAATTATGTTATCTTATCAAAATGAATAATTTTGTATTTAAAAAAAATAGGTTAAAAATGTAGTTTCAAAAACTGAATTTAGGTTTATAAGAAAATAAAGAAAGATTTGTAAGGCGAGAGAGGCTTGAAGTGAGTGATATACAAGTATACTGAGCTAAACGATCTAGATGAAGAAATGAATTAATTGAGAGACCAATCAATTGAATCGGATCAATGAGCTAGTGAGCTAAAGGAGTTAGTGAGCTAAATGAGCTAGTGAGCTAGATGAGTGATATATATCTTTAGAGCGAAATGATATGTATCAATCTTTTCAGCTCAGTGATACATTTTGCACATCACTATTGTCAATGTTTTCATTGTCAGTGACTTGTCAGTGGAAGTAAAGTCTTGATCCACAGAGTGGTTAAAGTTTACTGTATAGGTATGGGACAAAATCACAGTGTACACTCACACTATATTTAAAAAAAACACACAACAATCACACTATATTAAAAAAAAAAGAAAAGTTAAAAACGTTCAACTTCAACTTATGATTAATAGCTTTGTGTAAAAAAAAATCGGTTGTCTGTAAAGTCGGTTTACTGACGATAGTTGAACGTGACAACGTCATAAGAAAATACTGATGGAATGGTTGCATTTTTCAAAAATTTATTATTGTATACGAGTAGCAGCTGTCCACGCGGACGCATCGCTCACTCAAGTAGGAGAGAGACAGATGTCGAACGCTGCCGAACGCGGAGGCCGATTGTGCCTCTTTGTCTCTCGTTTCGCGCTCTCGCTTGCACTTCACGCCTTAAATGGAACGCCTCAGAGCGAGGTAACGCCGCATGAGTCATGTTTTTCCGTGCGTGCAGCCGGCTCCATCAAATTGTAAGACGTCTACCACGACTACCAAAGGCACATAACAATGAATCCAATAGTACTGAAAAACTTCCCGAAACAGTAATATAATAACTTTTAAAGTCCTTCCGTGCGTGTAGCATCAGCTGATTTCTGTTTGATTTTGTCGCGCATTCGCATAATTGGCTTGGAAATGCCACGACGGTTTTTTACTGTTTACAATATTAATTATTGAATATTTTTAAGAATTAGCACGCGGGCAAATTAAATTAGCGAAAGGGCAATTTTTTTACGCTTGGTAGAGTAAAAAATAATCATTTTTCAAAGAGATATGGCTATTTTAAGTAGAGGAAAATTGAAAATTATATTTCTATTTTTCCTGGGAAAACGAAAAAGGGGCTTATAAATTAATTAACGTAGGTTGAAAGGGCTAATTGAGATCTATAAAACGGGTTTTTTTTTATTTTGAAATTTTAATATCTGCAGGCTGGGACGTGCCCGGTCTAGTTAGTAGTTCTATTGTACGCATATGACCGTGTGGACTTTTACTTTGGCAGAGGGGAACGGTTGCGTATGGCCACTCCTTACTGTGTTGCTCTATGGTAAAAAAATCTAAAAAATGAATTAAACAAAACTTTCAACTTTAACTTTTGAGTAATGGCTTTGTGTAAAAAATCTATAAAACTGAGTAGTGAACAGACCTCAGATTAGTATAATGTAACAAGCTACAGCAAGAACAGACTTTCTACATTGCTGAGACATATCAATGTAGAAGGTCTGTTCACTTCATTGTAATTAAATTCTTTAATATTTCTTAGTTTGCATTTTTCTCTATTTTCTTTGATTTACGGTATGTGAAAAACAGAAAGCAGATATTAAGGAGAAAGAGTTACAATTCGTTATGTACAGTTGTTGGCAATTCGGTTGCATAACATTTATGATATTTCTGGACGAAATCGCGCAAAATATTGCAATTATAAAAAAAAATAGATATTTCATTATCTTCGCGGAATTTAAAATCTAAATCTAAGTAATATTTCTAAGATATTTATTACGTACAAAGTACAAAAGTAGATTGTATTTCTTGTTAATAGTTGTTTAAATAGAATAAGAATAGCATAAAACCGGTATACTTGCCGAAATTAAAAATTACTATCCAAAGTTCAAGGTCATTGAATGAAGTGACTTTTGCTTTGCTTATCGTACAAATTATTACATCATCGCTTCACTGAGCGCACGTTATCGTACTGGTGCGGCTTGTGAACTCTTTTTTGTTTGCTCACTTAATTTGTGGCAGTCTTCCAGTGCGCACTATCATGTCGACAGCCGGGAAAGTTATTAAGTGTCAAGCGGCGGTTGCTTGGGAGGCAGGTAAACCTTTTTCTATTGAAGAAATTGAAGTCGACCCTCCAAAAGCCGGTGAAGTGCGCGTTAAAATCACTGCATCCGGCGTTTGCCATACAGATGCCTACACACTTTCTGGAAAAGACCCTGAAGGAGTGTTTCCCGTCGTTTTGGGTCACGAAGGTGGCGGTATCGTCGAGAGCGTCGGCGAGGGAGTAACTTCCGTCAAGCCTGGAGATCACGTTATACCTTTATACGTTCCTCAATGCAACACATGTAAGTTCTGCCTGAACCCAAAAACAAACTTGTGTCAGAAGGTTCGTATTACTCAAGGACAGGGTGTTATGCCCGATGGTACCAGAAGATTCCGTTGTAAGGGACAAGAGCTGTACCATTTCATGGGATGCTCCACATTCAGTGAATACACAGTTGTTGCGGAAATTTCTATTTGTAAAGTTAATCAGGCTGCTGCCTTGGATAAAGTATGTTTGTTAGGCTGTGGTGTACCAACCGGTTATGGGGCTGCTCTTAACACTGCCAACGTTGAAGCTGGCTCTAACTGTGCTATATTTGGTCTTGGAGCTGTAGGTCTTGCTGTTGCCCTGGGATGTAAAGCTGCAGGGGCTAAGCGTATTATTGGTGTTGATATCAATCCTGACAAATTCCAAGTTGCTAAAAAGTTTGGAGTCAATGAATTTGTCAACCCTAAAGACTATGAAAAGCCTATCCAGCAGGTACTTGTTGACCTAACTGATGGCGGCTTAGACTACACTTTTGAGTGCATTGGAAATGTTAACACTATGCGTGCTGCTCTTGAAGCCTGCCACAAGGGTTGGGGTGTTTCTGTGATCATTGGTGTAGCTGCTTCTGGTGAAGAGATCAGCACTCGCCCGTTCCAACTTGTAACTGGACGTACCTGGAAGGGAACAGCTTTTGGAGGCTATAAAAGTCGAGACAATGTACCAAAGCTTGTAGAAGAGTATCTGGCTAATAAATTGCCCTTGGACGATTTTGTAACCCACACTTTACCTCTGAAGGAAATTAATGAAGCATTCCATCTTATGCACACTGGGAAATCCATCCGTGCTGTACTCCAATTGTAGTTAAAATAAACATGTTATTTTTGTAAGCCTGTACCGTTCTGAATGTAAAACTGCATTTAAAAACTTTTTATATGTCAAACATATTGAGCAATATATTTATATAAAACATTTGTTGATACTCTAACCTGCATTATTATTTGATTCCTCTAATAGTCCACTGCTGGACATAGGCCTCTCCTTAGAAAGGAGGTTTTGGCCTTATTAATCAAGATCTGCCTAATTAGTAACCTAATTTCAAAAACAAATTTTCTGCTATCCATATTTCATATGACTGACCCACCGCCGGACCACTCAGGTCTAAATGGTGAAATCGGAGCCCACAACCAATACCAAAAAAGAAAATATATAACTGACCCATATCATATGTTTTAGAACTATCATATGTTTTACATAAAAACAGTATGGCAATGCTCATCTGAATGGCTGTCTATGCAACAACAAGGCATTGGGTTTTAATACTGTTTAAATACCACATTTGGTATGCAAAACAATCAATCAACCAGGTTCAATGTAAGTTAGCATGCAGTAGCAAATAGCAATAAAATGCTGCCTTTTTGTTCTTCATCATAAGAAATACAGATTAGTTTCAAATTATTATGTTCTTGCAGTAATCTATACTAATATTATAAAGCTGAAGAGTTTGTTTGTTTGAACGCGCTAATCTCAGGAACTACTGGTCCGATTTAAAAAAATCTTTCAGTGTTAGATAGCCCGTTTATCGAGGAAGGCTATAGGCTATATATCATCACGCTAAGACCAATAGGAGCGGAGCACCAATGAAGAATGTTTCAAAAACGGAGAAAATTTATTACTATTGAGAGACGCAGACGAAGTTGCGCGGGTCAGCTAGTTTAAAATATAAAAACCAATGTTATTTGCATTGCTTTGTCTTCATATTTATCTGCTTTAATCATGAAGCTTTCTAAACATATTGACACAAAAAAGGATTTAGGGATAAGTACCTCCCAAACAGAAAAAAGAACCTAGTGTTCCCGTCTGATTAAAATATCATTTTTACGCAAGCAAGCTACTACCATAGTAATATGTAAATAAGAAATGTGTTTGACATCCATTTTTATCACGTTTGCACCTTTAAACCGATGTATTTTATAGTTAAATCGTCTAGGGTTTAATATATCCAGTGTACAATAGACGACTGGTATAACCTGATGGATTAATAGCGAGTATCTAGTATTGAAATGACCTGGTATCGTTTCGATGTCAAGTTTTAGAAAAAAAAACTATAGGCGAATAACGAGTAATTAAGATTGATGCTATCGCTGTATATTATGTAAGTAAAAAAATGTGCTTAACACGCTTAACCTTTCGATACTTAGGTGATTGTAGTATTGTTCATGAATCGTAATGTGCTATCGTCTGTTAAGAGTTAAATATTTTCAATCATATATTTCTATTCATATTATAATTGTATTAACATAAAAGCAAGGCTAAATAATTATACGATTTAAGTTAAAAGCGATTAAATATTTCTCGATTAAATATATGAAAAAGTTCGTGTGGTGAGTAAGAGTTGTTAAATTGCACCCAGACACAGAACAAATGGTCGTGGTCATCACATAAGGATTTGTCCTAGGTGGGTATCGAACCCGCGATCTCTGCACTCTGGTTTAGCAGTAAGGATCAGTAAACCGACACACAGTCGAAGAAAGTAACTTTTAAATTATCTGTCACAACACTTGCATCACGAGTATTTATAACATAATACCTACACTACACTGAATGAAACATTTTATTTCAAATGGTTTACATACGATAAAGGAATTGTCAATTTTAACACGGATATTTAAGTGAATTTCCTTACGAACAGATTTCGCTTACACAAGTATACCTACAGCTAAATTGATGCCATTTTCATTTTTATTTTATTTTCTTTAGTGGACGGACGTTTACAAATGTACGTGTACAAACTCGGTCTAAACATGTAGATGGAAGCGAACAGAAAAGCAACCCATCGACCACGGCGATCATTTTAAACTACTATTTAAATATTGATTGGATCTATTTAGGTGTGTTGGTAAATAATTAGTACTTATTAAGGACGTCATAAGGAGTAAACTCCAAATAACGAAGTGAAACCCGAACAATACTTATATCACCTTACAATTCGGTCTATAATTTAACATGTCGCTGTTACATACGCGAATTAACACTGGTTTCTATTGGTGTACAGAGTTAGTGCGATTTTATTTTAAACCAACTCGCTTTGACACCGCGACGATTGAGAAATTGTACATAAGTACACCAATTAAAACCTTAATTATTGTAAATAAATGTAAATAATTACAAATTATTAACTGCCTATAATTAGCCATCCTTCACCACCACAAGAAACTTTTTGCCTCGCACTTCCAGTATGAGGAACAAATTGTCATCTGCGGTATTTCCGGTATTCGGTTATGTTTGTGCACATACGTGTGACGCAGTTTTAGGGGAGTCATTTAAAATCAGATACTACACGTCAAATTTGCCAACCTTCTGAAAATACCTGCCCAGAAAATATTTAAGTATCTATACAAATAAATAGAATTGAAGTGTATTTCCACGATACCTATGCCCAAAAACCAGGTAAAATATTTTTTGACTATCTGTGTGTTCCAAGTAATCTTCAAAACGGCTGGACCGATTTTGATAATATTTTACTACCAGGTGCTGTCTACAATATAAGGAGTGACTTAGGCTTTTTTTTTGCTCGAAGTAAAACTTTTGCCCGGTCCGGGCATCAAACCCACTAAGGAAGCGCTTTTCAAATTCCACGCGAACGAAGTCACAGAGACCAGGTAGTATTGAATAAAAGCACTAGCTGTGTTTCTTTTACTGTACCTAATAAATGGTAGTACTCATCAGCACTAAATTGACGCAGTCAAACTCTAGTTCGACCTTACTGGTCTTGAAAGTAAAACAAAAGCCCCGTCTCAACTTAGGTCAACGCGCTGATAATGCATACTCGATAAATACAATGATAACAATAAGTGGAAGGTATATTAAGATTTAAACAATTTTCAACAACCGATTGTTAAGTTTAGTAAGTTTTTTTTAAAGTAAAGGCAGCAAGGGGGGCGAGCCAATAAACAGCAATACAAACAAGAGGTAGATACGCCACTAACGCACAAAACGCGGGAGTCCTAATTAGGACACCACTGCGAGCTAAAGCACGTAATAATTAATTCGAGAAAATTCATAAAATGCCTTCCTGTGTATTCCGAAAGTGCATAAATTATGACAGAAAGGTAAATAATGATAAAGGAATATTATACCACAGGTAAGTGTATGTTTTGTTCTAACATGCATTAATGTATGTATAGTGTTACGGAACAAATATTTTGTGTATGTGCATACCCTTATAATATTACCTGTAAGTTGATCAGTAGTCTGGTTAACATAGTACAGGCTCTGTCTAGTTTAGGATTTGCACCTGCACACGGCCGTTTGTGACGTGGCAAGTTATTATTATTAATATTAATGTGAACCTATAATATCAAGGAAAAAAAAGACAACTAAAAGTCCAGAAAATAACATTCTTTTATATTCGTAACAAAATATACAATGAATTACTTCATTACGTAACTAATCAACATTTTTACACAAAATATTTACAATTTACATAATGGGTTCAGCTAATTACACAGATACCAAGATAATACATTTTATTGATGTCAATTATACAGCCATAAAATGTTAAGTGTAAACATATAGTCATTGTAATTATAAGTCAATAATTAGGTATAAATTGTCGAGTTTTTTATTAGTACTAGGTCAAATTTTATTTAATGTACATCAATTAATATTATATTTTGAATGCTTATTATTAACAAGAATTTTTAATATACATTTTAATCACAGTTAAACATTCGGTTGTTTGTAACAATCGGGTTCCCGCCATAACAAACGTCAAATGATATCAAAGACAATACGTATCCTTTCCTTTTTTTTATATAATTTATGTTTTCATCTGAAAAATGTCCGGTGGTAGAATTTATTTTACTAATAGTTTTTAATGTCGTCGCCATATTCACAGGCTTGTATTTGAGTAGAGAGTGTCGATCGCTCTGTGTTTTTTTTTAAAATTACGTTTAGGTCATAATTTCAAGGGTATTTTAATACACAAACGGTTTTAAATAGTTGCCGTTGTTAAATCGCTAATTTTTTTATTGTTTATAATCTGACACGATAACTTTTGACCGATGTGTTTGACACATCGTGCGATATCAATTAAAATAAATCAACCTATATAAGTGTACATAATTCAGGTCCCAACGGGAGCATCCAATAACTATGTGGGCTTAAACTAGGAGATATGAGAGGTCCAATAGTCTAACACAATAAAATTATTAACAAATTTATTTAACAAATTTAAATAGATAGTAAATCTTGAAATTTCGCGTTCAGTGATATGTATAAACAATATATGTATTTCACACTGGAATTAATCATAATCTGGTTGAAATATCAGGAAATTCATATATATATACATATATTATACCTATTGATCGCGTTCCCTTATAAATATTTATATGCACACGAGTATGTTAGTACATCTTACAAAAAAAAAAAACGATTTTACTAACATGTGTGTTTCAGAACTCCTCGACTAGTTTCGGCGTCACACTTGCATCATAACAAAATGTTTCAAGACTTGGGAAAGAGCCCAAGAAAAAAGGTGTAGTGTCGAAAACCAATTAAACCTCACCTCCGAAATACATACATGAGTAAAACCGTATGTCTTTGATAGATTAGTATATCTTAACGTTGTATCATTTCAAATTTTATGAAAATAAAATGGAATTTTGTAAAATTAAAAAGACTGAAAGGATTGCATGAAAGAGAAAAGTGGAGTGTGCATATAATGTCACTAAAAAAACGAGTGTGCTTTAGACTAAACGACTGAAGTAAAACTTCTTGGCTATGAGAGAAAGAGAGAAAGAAAATGTGTGCTCGCACCTCTCTCTCTTGCCCCTACAGTAATATACGAACTTTAACTCTGTCTGTAAATATTATATATCTCCCCCTCAACATCCGTCCGTCTCACCCGATCACACTTTTCGTAACGCTCTCGTCAAGCATTCACCACCTTACTACCCAAGTCAAGAGTGCGTAAAGAAGTTTTACTTCAAAAAATTGACCCTCTAGAAGAAAATTAACATTATTAAAGGTTTACATAATTAGCGGATGCTCCCTATATAAAATACGTCTAGTTACAGTGAACGTAATGCGTTTGGTTCTTATACCTTCTCATAACTGCCATTGTTGGTTTTTTGTTGCCAAGTTTGGTTCCCGCTATTGGTCTGCAGTGATCTGTTTGTAGTACTCCACGTAAGTTTCGCATTGTTCACCTGTAATATTGTGTATGAATTAGTATATTTGTTTAAATTGATTAACATTACTACAAAAAATATCTGAAAACCATGAAAATAAAAAGCGAAATGTGTTGCTAAGCGCAAAATCCCAAAGAGGGCTCGAACAATTTGGTTTTTTTTTTCATATTATCAATGAAAGTTCTTATATAAAGAAAAAATATAAAAATACGTGGAAAATAGTAAAAATAACACTTTTATTTTCCCATACAAACCACAGAGTAAATTAAAACACGGACAATGTAACACGACAAGCTGTCAAACATTTGACATCAATCAAAACAAAACTTTTTATTATGATTATATTTGGTATACCTTCAATTTGATTAGGCTTTATGGATATTAATCTATACCTGCCCAAAATAAAGATCGAAGGAAAGTAATTACTCTGAAATACGTTTTAATTATGTTATCTATTGAAGTGCGACAAGCCAATAACTTTTGACAGAACGAAATCAGTCGGGGCAGGTAGTTGGAAACAAATATATATAATAATAATATATCTCACACATCTCACACACGGCCGTCTGATCCCAAACTAGGCAGAGCCTGTACTGTGGTAACCAAACTGCTAATAAACATACTTATATATTTCTAAATACATACATATTATAGATAAATTACACCCAGACACAGAACAAATGACCGTGCTCATCACACAATATTTGTCCTGGCTGGAAATCGAACCCACAACCTTCGGTTCAGCAGTCAGGGTCACTAACCACTAGACCAACAGGAGATCTACTAAATTTTCCTTTAACAAAATGTGATCGAATCAAATAAGGCGTATAATTGCAATAAAATTATCATATTCCATTAATTAGATATTGTCTGTAATCTATGAAAACAGATATGACGCATGAGAGCTGATACATTTTTTTATTAAACGGATTTAAAAAAGAATTAGGTTTTAAATAAGATAGATAATGTTGTGTGTATGTTACACCATCTCCTCGCAATTCGTAACTGTATTTGAATTTTTTTAAGTTATTTTTTTCATAATCAAGGTTAGTTCCGTTTAAATAATAATAATAATATTCTACCACATTCACACAACGCCATCTAGTCCCAAACTAAGCAGAGCTTGTACTATGGGAACTAGAAAACTGATACATATATACTTTTTTTTTGTAAATACATACATATTATATATAGAAACACCCAGACCAAATCAAACATTAAATGTTCAGGCACACAAATGTTTGACTTGAGCGGGAATCGAACCCGCGACCTTTGGAATAGCAGTCCGTTACAGAAACCACTACGCCATCCGGTCGTCAAATTTGTGAATATTCTACTTAAATGTGTAATATTCTACCTCTGAAGGTCTAACTCTCTCGAAGTATACACCTTAAAAGGATTTATCATGATTCAGGCATGCAGTCGGTCATATACTATTTTTAGGTGTTAACTGAGTATAGTTGATGGCATAGTGATTTGTGTAACGGACTGCTATTTCGAAGGTCGCGTGTTCGATTCCCGCTCAAGTCAAACATTTCTATGTATAATATGTATGTCATTACAAAAAAAAATGTATTTATATCAGTTGTCTAGTACCCATAGTACAAGCTCTGCTTAGTACTAGATGGCGTTGTGTAAATATGGTAGAATATTATTATTAATGATTAAAGATTACACACGCGATTCAATGAGTTATAACAATAGTTTTAAATTGTTTTTTTTTAATCTTACTCGCAATGATAGCTCAGAGCGAGTAAGATTAGAAAATAAAACAGTGTGAAGTCTGGGTTTAATAAAGTTTATATACATATAAAAGACTACAAAAATCTTCGATCAAGAATAGCAACAAAAATCTAAATTTTTTAGACTGTATTCAGATTTAAAGTGACTTTCCACATCTGTGTTATGTGTATACTGAAAAAATCCAGTATGGCGCTTGATGCTGAGGCGGAAGGTAGCTTTGTCATTGCTTTTTAATGGTTATATATATATATATATATATACCCTTATATATTTATATGGTTTATGGCATTCCTCCCTTCAGGTTCGAAACTAATCAAACAGATTAATAGGTAATCCATCTTTAATAAAGAAATAATCTTTAATTTGAAAAGAAAACAACCTCATTTCGTTACGAATTATTATAGATATGTATTTATTGTTTGTTTGAAAGAAACTTTTTCTCGAAGGTTCAGTTTCGGATCAATGACAAAAAACTATAATTTTTATTTATCAAATGATAATAACATAACACGTTATCTTAAATGTTAAGCTTATCATGTTCCCACTCCATGGCACCACATAAAATTAACATAGTAATTACGTCGATAACTTATCAAGCGAATTAAATAAAACATACATTTTTGTTTCAATACCTAATTGAGATATTTAGGTATGGGACAAAATTACATTGAACCACAGTTCACCAAATCACAATTTATCATTGTTTTTTTTTTAACGTAGATTACAGTTTTCAGACGATACATAAAGACCCTATTTTGTACGTTTAACAGTAAATCTAGTAATTATTATTATTGTGTAGGTATAATAATTATTTATTTATTTTTCAACTTTATGCACATAAGTACAATGGCGGACTTAATGCCATAGGCATTCTCTACCAGTCTACCTTAGGGTGGTGTGGAAATGAATGTGGAGGTTTACTACCCTTTGGTTGAGAATTATAAAGTGGACATAAAAGAAGTAATGATAGCAATACTGAGCAAAAAGCAATGAAATGATATATAAATACCAACGTATACATACAAGAATACATACATTCATATTCATATATATTGTGTTATATATATATACACATACATATATACCATAATATATAAAGAATCATATTTGTGATGATCGCTGCATTCCGGTCAAGGAGAGCCCGCACCTTCGCCCTAAACGAATTACGACTGGTCGCCATTCTGATATTCTGGGGAAGAGCATTCCATAGAAGTACAGATTGAGTGAGGAAGGAAGAATGACCACACGCAGAAGTGTTACTAGATTTACTGTTCAATAATATAATATACCTCACACATTTCACACACGGCCGTCTGATCCCAAACTAGGCAGAGCCTGTGCTATGGTAACCAGACCGCTGATAAACATATTTATATATTTTTAAATACATACATATTATAGATAAATTACAACCAGACACAGAACAAATTATCATGCTCATCACACAATATTTGTCCTGGGTGGGAATCGAACCCACGACCTCCGGCTTAGCAGTCAGGGGCACTAACCACTCGACCAACAGGCCCGTCAAGACAAATAGGCAAATAGGGTCTCTAATGCTGTTTATGCATGGTCTGAAAACAGCTTATTGGCAAGAACGCGTGAGTAAATACGAACACTCATCTACGCAGGAAATAATTTAATGATAAATTACAGTTTACTGTGATTTTGTTGCATGCCTAGAGATATCAAGAGGTATTTAGGGTTATATGCGTATGGATATTATGAAATTGCAAATGATTGTTAACTAAAAGAGGTGGCTTTTATTTTTAGCATGATCAGAAAATAGCACAGACTGTGTACTGTGGTATTTAGTAGTTGCATTAATGTCACCTGTCATACATTAGATTTATCTTGAGACTCTAAAACAAAAGGGTCAGATACACTAATACCTATGATCGAACGGAAATGAGAAAATATTTTTAGATTAGATTTGCTCGTTTAATATACATGTATAAAAGGATTTCTTAAATACGGAAGAATAACTCTTTTCCACTTCCATCATCTCATTGAAAATTTAAGTGTAAATATATTGGAAAAAGAGTGACCTTGGACCAAGTTTCTACCTGTTTTGTCAGTAGGATTTATGTATTGCAATACAATTTGAAATGACCTATTGTCGGTTTAATCGAACTAAATTTGCGACGAAACGAAGGAGCAGCCACTTACTTTTGAGGAAATGCGGCGCGCCCCTGGTGCGCTCGTTGCGCGCCTGCAGCGCGTGGTAGACGGCCGTGAAGGCGGTGGGGCAGCGGCGCTGCGTGGCGTGCGCGTGCGCCGCGGCGAGCAGCTTGCGCGGCGCCAGCGCGCCCGCCGCGCCCGCCTGACGCGCCGCGCCCAGCGCCGCCACCGGCTCGTGCCAGCTCAGCAGCACCTCCACCACCTCCTGTGCGAGGGCCCTTACGCTTTCACTTACACAGGCAAACGAGCAAAACGGTCTAGTGTTTTTTGCTTGTCCCTTTTTTAATCATTTTGCTGTTATTACGATGTAATTTCGATACCTGATGGATAACTGGTTTGTATTCTGTTGTATATTGGTATTTATTGAAGATACTACGAATTGTGATTTGACCGTATAACGAATATTTATTTTAAATCTTTATGTACAATTACAACTCATTTGTACAACGGCGAACTTAATGCCGTAGGCATTTTCTCCCAGTCAACCTTTGGGTGGTGGGAAATGTCTGAGTGGGTGCACTAAAAATAAGGTTTTGTTTTAAAAAGGTCATAATTATATTTAATTGAATTTTCGACGAGGCTCTTGGCCGAAATGCCGAGTCATCATTATCATCAACGGCTTTCAATAGTCTGGACATATGCCAGGCGGGTTGGTATAGTACTGTTATTTTTTAATTTTACTTTAGTAACAGAAGAATTTTAGTTAGAAGTCGATTAACCTTACGAACAAAAATTAGTAGTAAATAATGTGTTCCATACAGGTAGACGATAGCACACATTCGTCTCGATAGGTGGTAACGTGTATATAACTAGATCGCAATATTAAGATCGTTCCACCACAACCACAACCGACAGTCTATAACAGTCCACTGCTGGACATAGGCCTCTCCTTAGAAAGGAGGTTTTGGCCTACTATACCACGGTGACCAAACGGGTCGGTATAAGATCGTTCGAGATGAAATAACAGCGCGTAAGTCTAAATGGGAGCAGGTCACCTCGTATCCCTTGAGGCGCCACAGCATGTCGAGCGCGAGCTGCGCGGCGGCGGGGTCGAGGTGGCCCAGCGACAGCAGCGCGCAGGCGAGCGGGCGCGCGTCGCCCAGCGCGCCCCGGCGCAGCGCGGCCCGCAGGCGCGCCGGGGCCCCGCGCGTCACGAGCGCGCGCACCGTCACCTCGGCCGCGGCCGGCTGCACCACCAGCGCGCGCCGGCACAGCGACGCCAGGTACGCCGTCACCACCTGCCGTCCCACCCACCGACGCTCAGAACCAGCTTTTATATTCTACCGATATTGTTACGAAACAAATATGCGAATCCAATTTTTTTATATTAACATTAATTTAGGTAGCTTTGGATTAATTCAACTATCATCCGAAACCTACAGTCGTTACAAAATAAGAAGCCCGTTTTGACATTTGTCATGGTGGCGTAACTAGCGATTAACCATACGACTCGGTGCACGACACTTACGATAAATCGATTCAAGCTTGTAGAGTATTTGATTGATTTGACTATATATCACAAAGTGCATTGGATTTAAGTTATAATTAGAACATATAACTTAAACTTTAATGTTAAACTGACATTTCTTTAAATTGTATCATTTCAAATTTGAAATGATACAATTTAAAGAAATGTCAGTTTGTCTTTAATTAAAAAATTTAGCTCAATCACAACAAAATCAAGAAAGTGAAATCAATCATTTTCTTCTAATGACGAGCCAGATGAGCTACCGTCGCCTGTATATATAGTTATTTCATTTTCTATAATATTACCAATATTGACGTCTCTATCATAGTCTTCCTTTATTATTTTTCGCGTCTATTCTAACACTTTTACCCAATCTTCTTTAGTTATTTTATCACAAGCTTTTTTTAACAATGTCATCATATTCTTAGTGGAGAATGGTGGCTTTGTATTATGACGTGCTGCGTATCCTTTGACCTGAGCTCAGATTAATTCAATAGCATTGTACTGACAATGGTACGGCGGCGTTCTTATCAATTTGTGACCATGTTGAAGTGACAATTCATCGATTTTACATCTTAATTTTGCAGGTTTATTTTGATTTACTAATTCCAGCAGTTCAGCTTTCAATAAATTCATGTCAGCTTCTACGCCTTTTCTTTGTAACCTGCCTCTTTGCTTGCTTGAGTAGGTGCCTTATCTATTTGAACTGAATGGTAAGGTGCATTATCCATAATTATTGTGCACTGTTCGGGGAGGTTTATTAACAACTTAGTAAACCACTCTAAGAATTTATTTGCATCCATTTCTTCATGGTATTCTTTTGTACTTCTGGACTCGAATGCGAGTAGAGCATCATGCACAAAACCTCCCCCGGCTGATCCGGCATGGCAGATTATTAGGCGTCCACCCTTACCCATTGGCACTTTTGAACAAGATGCCTTGTTATCATCCGTCCATGACTGTGGCACGGTATGATTCGAGATCAGCCAAGTTTCATCGATATATATGACATTATCCCAATTTGTAATTTTGTTCATTTGCCTCAAGAATGATACTCTGTGCAAAATTATATCATGTCGTTCCATCATAATTTTCCTCTTGTCGGTTTTCTTGTATTTGAAACCAATTTTCTTCATAATTGTTATTAAAGATGTTGCACTGCCACTAAACAGGCCAGCCTCTCTTAGTGATACCACCAACTTACTTACAGTTGGGTACTCACTTCTCGTGTAATAAGTATATACGTGGTTTCGAATAGCATCTGCGTCAAATGTGTCAATACCTGTTACAGGCTTGCTTTTCTTCCTCTTCTTAGGCGTATGTGACACATTTTCTTTAGTACCGGAAGACCCATACTTTTCCTTCAAAATGGTTCGAATAGTTTTTTTGCCGATTCCAAGTGCTTCTGCTACGCGATCTTGCACTTCAGTTACGGGTAATAATGGTCCACCATAACTGATTCGCGTTCGAAGTATTCGGTTGACTTCACAACCACTTCGCGTGATAGGCTGTTGATTGTACGTCCTCTTTTCGACATGTTGAAACAGAGTTTGTACAATATAACAACAAACACCAAAATCGAGTCCAAATCGCTATGTCTAATCAATGTCCGGAATAGAAGAGCCAAGGTCAACGTGATAGTAAACCAAAACAGTCCAAAAGCAAAGCCGAGTCTAGAAAAAATATCAAACATAAACGAGCGCACAGTCAACTTCACAAGATGTCGAACGAAAGACTGCGCAGTACGCGGTACGCGCATGGATCACGTGCCGCTTGGTCATAGACAAACCATTCTATAGGTACATAGAGAAAGGAAACAAATTATGTACGGCTTTGATAATTCTTTATAGACTGACTTTTAAGGACTGTTGTCAAATGTGACTGTTGCAAAATGAGACATGACGTTTGAGACAGAAAAATGAGGATGATTTTTTTTTTTTAATATCATCATGAAATGATTTGGTTAAAAAACCCGGAGTCCACTCCGGGTTTTTTAACCAAATCATTTAGTATAATATCAAAATATTCATATTAAATATCAAAATAAAGCTAAAACTATATGTGATCAGATTTTGTTTTTATATGTTTAAATAATACACTAATTACAAATTTATCTCTTTTTTAAATGTAATTTTTGTAAACGATTTTCAGAACTCTATTTTATTCGGCCATAAAACGGCTTTTTAACGGTTACAACACTACGGCAACCAACCCAAAGACATGACATTGTAGTAAAGTCCTGTCGGAATATTAATCAACGATTAATTCGTGTTTTTGAGTGCATTTTTTCAATATAATAGATAGTGTATGGGTAACATAGTAATTAAATAGGATTATGAATTTGATTTTTCAATGTCTTACATAGACGTTCATACAAAGTTATCGCGGCATGTCAAACGAGAAATGTCAAAACGGGCTTCATATTTTGTGACGACTTTAGTCCGAACTATACGATTCTTAACTTTTTTTAAACTTCACGTATACTGACCAAACCTAACCACATTTATACATTTGCTGTATGTATATATGATTAAACTTAATAATGTAAGTAATATCTTCCAAACCCATGAAAGCAAAAGATTTATAATTTACGTAAGATTCCCTTTTTTTCAGACATCTAACACAACGCCATCTAGTTTCAAACTAAGCAGAGCTTGTACTATGAAAGCTAAATTGTCCGATAATACTTATTAACTTTTTTTTAAATACATACATATTTTAGCTTTAGTAACAAACTTTATATAAGAATCTAATAACAATAAGATGTAAATCATATAAAAAAATTAACAAAAACCTTTCAAAGATTCTGATGCTGCAAATAAATTTTAATTAATTAATTAATTATACACCCAAACTCCAACAAACAAATATTTATTTGCAGATCATAAAAACAAGTGGTCTACTGCACCACATAGACAGTCAAATAGAAACACTCCTATGAATAGAAATATATTTAGGTACCAGATTTAATTCTCTTCCAAAAGACGACCTAATAAAACCCTACAGAACGATTCCCTCAAAGACCTAATACCAGTCAACCAACACGATATCCAGGAATTTTTTCTACATACCTGCACTAAGTACTTATCTTCGGAATGATGCTGCAACACATGAGTACACATATCAGGCTGAGATATCAACACTTTGAAGTTGTGTGGAGCCTGTGAAGGTTCTACTCCCTGCCCAGCTGTGTTGCGAGCCATTTCTAGGTCCGCCCACTTTCTGTATCAGGGAAGGTAAAATGACCTAACTAAAAATTAAAATAAACATTTAAAATGTTATAAGTGGGTATGTTTGGTTATTGAAGTGAAAACTTCTTTAGCGGCGTTGTACACTTTTTTTGTAATGGGTAAATAATGTTAACCTCGCATCAGGACACGTGACCTGATCGAAAATTCGTAAGACGGTATCCCCCTCTCTTTCCAAGGCGTGGCGAAAATGTATGCCTGCGCCTGCTGTTTCGTTTAGGCGGCACAGGGCGCTTGCGCGAATGTTCGTGTGTGTTTATGTTCGTGCCACACGCATACAGGGATGGTGACAGCGTCTCGATAAATTGTCATGTTTGTGTACGATAGCACAATAAATAAATATTGTATTCTACCACATAAATGATAGTACTTTTATACTGATAATTAAAGCAATTCGTGCAAAACTATTCCCTAACCATTCCAAAATATCAAAAATGCACAAAGTTAATATTCAAGTTTTCACTTCTGTCGGCACTCCCGGAGTGCAACCCGTCGTTTTTTTTTATGGTATAAGGGGAAAATACTGCGCAGATGGCTAATCTGATGGTAAGTAACTACCACAGCCCACGGTCATATGCGATTCAACAAGTACGTTATCGGCCTTTGAGTGTGCCTGTCAGAATTTAGAAAAGGAGGGGGAGTTCTGTAGTTCACTAGCCCCATTACACTCGCCTATCTTTGCCCTAAAAGATTGATAAGTTTTTTTTATTATTAAGTCCAATTTTAAATGTCAATGATTTGACAATAGCGAGGTATGACGTACGCAGACAACAGCACTGCAGAGAGAAGGAAAACTTGAAACAAACCCTATACCAAACCCATCTGGCCAGCGCGGTATAGTAGGCCAAAACCTCCTTTCTAAGAAGAGGTCTATGTCCAGCAGTGGACTATTATAGGCTGATGATGATGATGAAACTGTCAATAATATTTACCTGTAGACTCCATTGATCTCATCAAACGCTTTGGTGAGCTCGACAAGGTATGTACCAGCGTCAGTCACAAGTTGGTTAAGCATTTTGTAGATGGTCTCCTTGCCGTGGGTTCGTCGGAGGAGTACGGCCACTATTTTGGATATTTCGTCCTTGGGTACCTGCAGTTTCAAAATACTACTAAAAATAGTGACTTTCTTTTTTGTTTTTTAAAAAAGACAACTCCCGCACTAGAAATAAATCCTGTGTCGCGGGGGACTTCACAAACATACATGAAACGGACACAAAGTACACCCAAGTGAGTTGTAAAAGCTGAAATCCTTACTAAAATTATTAATGCGAAATTGTGTCTGTCTGTATGTTACCTGTTCATGTTTAAACCGCTGAACCGATTTAGATAACATATGGTATAGCGATAGATTGAGTCCCGAGAAAGGATATAGCATAGTTTTTATCCCAGAAACCACCCTTGAAAGGGATGAAAAAGGGGTGGTAGTTTTTATGGGTATTAATAAGCGTTGAATCCGATGTTAATGAAATTTGGCACAGAGAGACTTTGATTCTTGAGACATTTTTAACGCGATAACCGACTAACGCACGGGCCCAGCCGCAGGTAAAAGCTAATTTAAAATAGGACTTCAGTAAATACTGAATATTTGGAAATTGAACTTAACATGGTCTGTGGTAGGAGCATCTCTTCTCTTCTCTTTTCTCTTTTTTAAAAAAGACAACGCCCGCATTAGGAATATATATTCCTATGTCGCGGGGGACTTTACAAACATACATGAAACGGACACAAAGAACACCCAGACTCAGAACAACAATTTGTGGATCACACAAAGTGTCGTCCCATGTGGGGTTTGAACCCACAACACTCGGCGTAGTAGGAAGCGGCGTGGCGACCGCTTAAACCACTACGCCATCCGTGCAGTCATCGAGCATCAACGAGTGCACGGGTAATATAAGGATATTATAAGCCTTATTGCTATGCCCTGAAGGTTGAGGGTATTTGTGACATGAATTGAGAGCTGAACTGATATCAGTTAAATGTTTTTAACATAGTCATCTTTGGTTATATTTTGAATTTAAGGCTCACTACCATATTATTTAGGAAAAGAAGGCTAACGAGCTAACGGTTACCCTGAAGGTAAGTGACTACCGCTACCCACGGACACCTGTAGCTCAAAAGACACAAGTGTGTTGACACCCTGGGGGGACGGGGGTTTAGGCTAGCTAGCTTATCGCAGTAAAAAATAGCTTATGTCTTTCTTTTTCTCAAGAATCAAAGTATCTTAATACTAAATGTCATCGGTTATTGATTCCCCATACAAACTTCTAATCCCCTTTTCACCCCCTTAAAGGATGATTTCTGGGACAATAACTACCCTATGTCCTTTCCTGGGATTCAGACGATCTCTGTACCAGATTTCATTTAAATCAGTTCAGCGGTTTAAGCGTGAAGAGGTACTAGACAGAAAGACAGACAAACAAACACTCTCGCATTTATAGTCTTAGTATGGGTTGGCGACAAAATTGATGATTGGAGTAAGTGGTAAAGATAGGCCAAGGAAAGGCTTTAGTTAGATAATTTTAAAAATCACATACATTAATCAAGGTAAACGTAAAATAATTACCGAGTGTGCTAATCCCGAGGGCACCAGATTGACCCGCCATAGACAACCTAGACGCGCGTCGATGATGTAGTCAGGTTGGAACACGACCCACGTGTCGGAGTCTGCCCGTCCATAGATAACGATGCACGGAAATAATTATTATGACCAAATTGAGAAATATAAAACAGGATTTCAGACAAGACTGCGATTGACATTCATAAATATTGTTGAAAGCAATACCTTATTTATGCGAATTATACTAAACAAATAAAAAAACGACCTTCTAACCTTCAAGAAAAGAGCGTACTCTTTCCTAAAAGGCCGGCAACGCGTTTGTGACTCACGAGTTGCAGACGTTCATGGGCGCCGATGGTCACTTTCCATCAGGTGACCCGTCTGCTCGTCTGCCCCCTCTAACATAAAAAAAAGGCTGTTACACATTTCCGTCCCCGTTCACAAAACCATTACCAGAGATTGTAGGCAATTGAGGCAACATATGTAACATTTAAATGATAGTCTGAATAAAGGATACACATAGGACAGAAATTGTCTCCAACGAGCGCTGGCTTCATAGATTCTGCCGTGACCACGGGGATGTGGATCACTATGTTGTTCTCCGGCTTCGATTCCTCCATTATATCGAACAGCTGGGAGGTTTGACTGGACTGGAATTGAACAATTCATTAGTTGACTATCATAAGAAATCAGTATATAGAAGACTTGTTAAATAAAAACTTGTGACGTCATATGATGGTATAATCAAAACATTTTTTGACAGGCTGGTGTTCTAGTGGTCAGAGATCCTGACTGCTCAGTCAGAGGACGTGGGTTAGATTCCTAAACAGGACAAATGACTATGTAATATAACATAATAAATCTTGTTTTGTGTGTGGGCGTAATTCATCTATAATACGAGGGGTGATCAATAAGTAATGATAATCAATATGAAACAGAACTATAAGATTAAAAAAAGTATTTTATTTTTCAACATAGTCTCCTTGCAAGTTAATACATTTAGTGTATCTTTTTTCTAAGCCCATGATTCCCTTAGAAAAAAATTCTTTGTCTTGACCCTCCCAAAATGCCTCTACTGCGGCCATCACTTCACTATTGTCCTCAAATTTGTTGCCCCGGAGGTGTTCTTTGAGCCGAGGAAAGAGGTAGAAGTCACTGGGAGCTAGATCTGGCGAATAGGGAGGGTGTTCGAGCAGTTCGAACCCCGTTTCTTCAATGGCAGCCATCGCAACTGCGGCTTTGTGAGCCGGGGCGTTGTCTTGGTGAAACAGCACTCCAGCGCGCAGTTTACCGCGTCTTTTGACTTAATAGCTTCTCGCAATCTTCTTATTTGGCCTGCGTAGTAAGAGCCTGTTATAGTGGCCCCCTTTTCCAAATATTCCACCATAATAATTCCTTCTGTATCCCAGAAAACAGACGCCATAACCTTTCCCGCTGAACTTGACACTTTGAATTTCTTCGGCGTTGGTGAGGAAGCTCGTTTCCAAGTCATTGATTGTTGTTTGGTTTCGGGATCAAAGTGGTGGATCCAGGTCTCGTCCATGGTCACAAAACGCGACAAAAAAAATTCTTTATCGGCCTGGAACTTTTGAAGATTCACCCTCGAAATGTCGACTCGTTTCTTTTTTTGCTCGTCGGTAAACATTCTCGGTACCCAACGCGCAGAGACCTTTTTCATATGCATTTTGTTGACAATGATTTTTTGAACGCTGCCATAGGAGATCCCTGTGACCTCAGCTACATGCCTTACGGTCACCCTTCGATCGGCCAACACGATATCTTCCACTTTTTTGACGTTTTCTCCAGTAAGGGACGTGGAAGGGCGTCCCTCGCGATGTTCATCTTCAGTGGAGGTTCTGCCCAGCTTAAATTCCTTTGCCCAGCGTGCGACTGTGGAATATGGAGGAGCAGACTCCCCCAATGTTTCCTCTAAGTCGCTGTGTATGTCTTTGGTAGACATTTTTTTCAGGCAGAGGTACTTGATGACAGCTCTTATTTCATTTTTCTCCATTTTGATGTTTTCTCTTCGACAGTTCGTATTCAAATGAATGTATCTCCCGGTAATGGTGTCCTATTTATACATTTTTTTGAAGCTGAAGTAGTGGATATATAAGCAAGCAGAAAAAAAATAATTTGGGTTTTTGTGCGTTCTAGAAATACTCGATTATCATTACTTATTGATCACCCCTCGTATGTGTGTTTAAGTCCGTGTGGTGACGGATTAAGAATACAGAGTGTCACCACCCCTATTCATCCCGTGGGTGTCGTAAGAGGCGACTAAGGAAGCAAACTACGCAGGACAACAACACTGCAGAGAGAAAAAAAACTTGAAACAAACCCTATACCAACCCGTCTGGCCAGCGTGGCATAGTAGGCCAAAACCTCCTTCCTAAGGAAAGGCCTATGTCCAGCAGTGGACTAGTAAAGGCTGTTGATGATGATGATGATGTGTGTTTAAAAATATATGTGTTCTTATTACCAGGTCCATTACTATAGCACAGGCTCTGCCAAGTTTGAGATCAGACTCGGATTATTTCGTGATCGCCATTGTTGTCATGTAGAAGTTAGGAAATTGGGAAAAGGATATGGCTAATATAGATAGTAACCAGAGTAAGTTATTAATGGAACCAAAGAAATATACTGTACTAAGAAGCGAGAGAGTAAACGCGATGGCCGTTGAGTACTAAATCTTTGTAATAAGTAATGCATTATTGTACGGTAAAATCGCTTGTTTGGCAATAGTGTACGGTGTTATCGTACACAGAGAGAGAGACGGTGTTACCCGCGTTTGTTGTTATAACCGTGGGGAACGCCGCGGGGCGAAGCTAGTCTAAAAAAAGTAGCCTAAGTTACTCCTTATGTCATCAGCTATCTGCCAGTGAAAGTCCCGTCGAAATCGGTCCAGCCGTTCTAGAGATTACCCGGAACAAACAGACAGACAGACAAAAATTGTAAAAAATGTTATTTTGGCATATGTACCGTGTAAACATACATATGCATTTAGTAAAAAGCGGTTATTTTAATATTACAAACAGACACTCCAATTTTATTTATTTGTATAGAAGATATAGATAGTTATTGTTACTTAAATAATAATAATAACCTAACACTATCCAAACTAGATCTGATCCCAAACTAGACAGAGTCTGTGCTTACGTGAAAAGGAATAATCGTGGTCATTCATCATTCATTAACAGCCTTTAATAGTCCACTGCTGGACATAGGCTCTTCTTAGAAAGGAGCTTTTGGCCTACTATGCCACTTATTTGTCTTGGATGAGAATCGAACCCACGACCTCCGGCTTAGCCACTAAACCAGCAAACTCGTCAAGTAACTATAATTGCTAAGAATATTTTGTTCACCTGATGATGTACCACGACCAAGTCATCCACAACGTTGACTGCGAACCTGCCGACAAGGCCTGTCTTCAACACGTGAGTGAAGTGGAAACCGTTGGGACCCATGATCGGCATCAGCCACACCTGTAATAAATATGTATCACTTTTATTACCTATATCCTATTTTGTAAGCAGACTGTTATGTAATTTAGTTTTTTTTTGACAGTATGAGGCAAAGGAGTAGACGGGTGCCTTGATGGTAAGTGACGACCCCGCCCATGAACACCTGTAACTACTATCATTACATGTATGTCCTAATGCGATAGTGTAACTATTACATAAATACTTGTTTTACTTAACTTCTAAGTTTTACTTAACTTCTAAAATTGAAGTGTCTGTAAAGTCAAAATAATGTTTTTTTTCATGCTTACACGGCCATTTGCAAGATAACTATATCTAGAAACCAATTTAAATATTTTTTTGTCTGTCTGTCTGTCAGTCTATCTGTCTGTTTGTTCCGGGTAATCTTCAAAATGGCTTAACCGATTTTGATAATATTTTAGCTGTCTGTATAAGGAGTAACTCAGGCTGTTATTTCATCAGAAAACCCCAAAAAAAATCACCCGGTCCGGGAATCGAATCCACTAAGGCAGCGCTTTTCGAATTCCACGCGGACGAAGTCGCGGGCACCAGTTAGTATAAAATATAATGCTGTCTTTGTGAACTCACTCAATGTACAGCTAAATAAGACAATATCTGTGGCTGCGAGGTTCAGGGTCCGGTAACCTCACTGACCTCACCCACTCGGTGAAAAGCTACGACAGAATCGCTTTTCTTTGAGGCCGTGGTGTCACTCTGACTCAAGTTCGCCTATTTGTGCTGAGGTGGCCATCCTACGGTGATATCTTACCAACAGTCAATCTAGCTTTCATAGTACATGCTCTCCATAGTTTGATACTAGATGGCGTTGTGTGTCAGATGTCAGAAACGTGAATGAGAAATGGCGAGCTGAGGTTCTTGGTGGACCAATACATCAGTTTAGATCACAAAAATCTGTAATTAATAATAAACTGCCACTAATATTCGCTCCTACTGTTAGCTATTTTTCGTATGATTACTCCATCGTACAAGCCTTGCTACAGAAAAAAGCTTGTTCGATGTGCAGTGCGGCAATAGGTTCAGCCAGGCACTTACTGACATTCGGGGGGGGGGGGGGGTCGTCTCGGGGGGGGGGGGGTCGTCTACTCGTCTGTAGATGACCCGAGGTATGTCGGGGCACCAGAGACTTCCTTTCTAGGGTATACCTGGTTCCCCGGCTATTAGTACCCGGCGACGGCGTGCGGTTTTAGTCGGTTCGTGTCCGACATGCCACCAACAGGTGGTATCAGAGAGGATTTCCGCACGGAAAAAAAAAAAAAAAAAAGGCACTTACTGACAGATTGTAAGAATTGACGCCATGCCATCTTAATACAATCAGGTTACCATTCTATCCCCTACCGCAGCAATCACTCTGCCACCAGAGGTCCCCACTCTCTGGCGGCCCGCGGCCCCGTCGACGGCTGGTATCGTTGCCGACGTCCTCTACGTTCCCGTTCAGTGGTCTCTTTCTGGAGCATTACAGCTTCACAGAAAGAGACCACTGCGCCCCATTACTCCTCACCCGCCAGCATGGCAGCAATAATTGCTGGCGGGGACAGGTCTCGTCCAATTTGGCCGATCAGGACTTCGCGTTCAGACGCCCACGCGGGGCAGTCTTCCAGAGTGTGCTGGGCGGAGTCAGTCGAACAATGTTCTTAGCCTAATATTAGTGGCATCAGTCAGGCGCTTGGTCGCTTAAGGTATAGGGTTTGATTCAAGTTTATATTCTCTTTGCAGTGCTGCTATCCTGCGTAGTTTGCTCCCCTAGTCGGCTTTTACGACACCCACGGGATGAATAGGGGTGGTGACACTTCGTATTCTTATTCCGTCACCACCGGATCACGATATTTAAAACAATGATCATGATAATAAGCTATCCCTACCTCTGTTGGTCCGGGAGCAGTCACCGTAGCAGAATGTCCATGCCTAAACACAGCACACCACGTAGCGTCGCATAGCCGAAGTATAAATACATCCCGTTCTAATACAGGCTTCGATGAGTCCACTGAAATAAATAAGGAAGTTATAATCCATACTAATATTATAAATGCGAAAGTGTCAGTCTGTCTGTAACCTCTTTACGCTTAAACCGCTGCACCGATTTAGTTGAAATTTGGTATAGAGATAGTTTGAGTCCCGGGAAAAGATAAGATTGTTTAATCATTCTTTAAGGGGGTAAAAAGGAGGGTGGAACATTGTATGGGAAAACAATAACTGCTGCACTGTTTTAGATGAAATTTGAAGAAAGGACAGGCTACTATTTAGTGCGATAACCGACGTACAAAGAGAAGGAAAACTTGACACAAACCCTATACCAATCCGTCTGGCCAGCGTGGTATAGTAGGCCAAAACCTCCTTTCTAAGGAGAGGCGTATGTCCAGCAGTGGACTGTTATAGGATGTAGATAATAAAGTTATACCACGCTGGCCAGACGGGTTGGTATAGATAGTTCAACTCAGTTGTGCGCGCGGCCCTATGTGTGCGTGGGCTTGTAAATATACAAATTTCATTCGTGTGGCTGTCATCGTCCAACTGCCGCGCGCACAACTGAGTTGAACTACCTATATAGAGTTTGTTTCAAGTTTTCCTTCTCTTTGCAGTGCTGTTGTCCTGCATAGTTTGCTCGCTTTATTTAATAAAAAAAAAGTATTTTATGTAGACTCTAAAGTCATAGATCAACACACACTAGCAAGATTTTCTGTTTTGTCACAAAATAAAAAAAGCACCTTCAGGTTACTCATCAACCTGAGTTTTTCTCAAGGCCTTTTCTCTATGGTCTGTATCAACATAGCCTATTTATAAAAAATGTATACGTATATACTAACATTCTAGCTTTTGCAGTTTAGCAATAGTAGAATTGTTCAATGAGAACGGCTGTAGGAGTACTCCATTGTTGCCGGCCAGTAACACGATGTTACTCTGAGAGCACCAAGCAAACCACGCACAGCTGTAAAACAAACAAAAGAAGATTATAGATATTAAGTTGTTACAAACATTAAAAAAATGCGCTTATTTTTTTTATAACAATTGCTTGCAATACTTGGTAACCAGTATAAGTAAAAAAAAACAGTGGCACTCTAGGAGTGCTGACAGAAGTGAAAACTTATATACAGAGGTCGGTAACGGTAACAGTGTCCCGAGTTCAATTGTTTTTTCCAATCTCAAAAGTGCCCAACGCGCCTAAAGAAGTTTTCAGTTTAACAGAGGTGTCGGTAACGGTAACAGTGACGCGAGTTCAATAGTTTTATCAAATCTCAAACAAAAATTCTTTTGTTTGTTGTTGAAAAATGAACATCGCTTAAAGAAGTTTTCACTTCAAATAGCTTAATGGTATGGGGGTTTACAATGGGAGTATGTAAGTGGAGTTCGAACCCATATCCTTATATCCTATGATTGTAAGTGTGGCCCTAAATATTGAAAATGGACCCAAAAAACTTCGAAAATCTGTTCTACGAATAAAAATAATATTCTATCACATTCACATAACGCCATCTAGTGCCAAACTAAGCAGAGCTTGTACTATGGGTACTAAACAACTAACAAAATACATATCTACTTTTTTTTGTAAATACATACATATTATACATTAAAACACCCATACTAAATAAAAAATTAAATGTTCATGCACACAAATATTTGAAATAACCGGCAAACGAACCCACAAGCTTTGGAATGGCAGTCCGTTACACAAATCACTATGCAACTCGGTTGTCAGATAAATAACTAATATAAATAACCTCTTAATATTAAATAAATTATTTGCATACCATTGATATGGTAATACAAACTGAACTATTGAGTTTATGAGTTCTTAATTGTAACCTTGTTTAAATACATATAAAATTTATTAAAAAAAACTGGTTCCGTTTTTCCTTTGTTTATGAAATAGGGGGCAAACTAGCAGACAGATCACCTGATGGAAAGTGACTACCTCCACCCATGAATGCCTGCAACTCAGGAGTCATAAGCACGTTGCCAGCCTTTGACAAAGGAGTAAGCTCTTTCCTTCACAGTATTTTACCTTTTTCAGTGGTTCTTTAAATCAAAGTTACTTGAAGTACGAATACTTTACAGATGAGCAGTATTACATATTATTACGTACACAATTTTCGTCACCTACAATTTTGTTACAATAAAAACTTGTACTTTTAAGTAAGAAAGCCACTGAATATGATTTAAGAATAAAGAGCAAACATTTACAAGGGTAAAATTCAAGTATTATCTAGTATTTTACTACAAATATTTAAGTTAAGGACTTCCATTCATAAAATTTTAGATACAAAACAAACTAACACTAGTCAGACTTATAAATGTGGTGGTTAAAAAAACTAAACCATCGCAAAAGTCAGTCATGGTTACACTGTAATATTTCTAAAGGCATTACAAATATATTAGAATTACCTGAAAGAAGTATTCTTCAAGCTCTTTAATATTTTTTTCTCTGGCAACACTTGTAATAATTCAATACCATGGTCAGTAATAAATGCAATTTCATTAATCTTAGGCCATACAAAACCCAATATCTTTGCGTTCTTCCATTTGCAGCTATGAGTGTACTCTATATTTGTGGGAGCCAAGTCTTTGAAATTTACAAACTCAACGGTAGCATTTTGGTTGTCTAAATTTCTTTGTATAGCCAATATTTTTAGGTCTGGTGAGAATTTTATTGAAATTATAGGACCAAGGTCTTCCATTCTGAAAGATGTACACCTAGATTCGTCCATACCATTGACTGTTACGCCTGTAACGCCCCCAGACCTTACCGTGAATACCTGAAAAATTAATTGAAGTGGAATCACGATTATTGTCTTCACAAAAAACCAAAGTGTATTTAAACTTGGGAAAAAATAATTATTCGAACATGTTGTGTAGAAACTGGTTCATTACATCGTGATATAGGTGAAGGATAAAAATTTATCATATAAAGTAAACAAGCACAATTACCTGTCCATTTGTGTCGTCAAAAAATACATTTGTCACGGGACTATCAGCGTCGAAGCGCTTTGGTTGCTCGGAGAGTGCCAAGTAGAATTCATCACTGTCTTTTAAATGGAATCTAGCCATGTTTTGACCAAATAAATTTATAATATGAAAACATGAAACACTTTCGCCTTTGTTATGACACTCAACTGACAAAGAGTTGTCAAATATGGTGTTACCATTACACTTTGCAAAGCAGCTATATAACTCAAAAATCAATTAAAATAAATACATTTTCAAATAAGATTCTCTTCTTTATCATTAAATTAGTCACTTATAGTGAATTCTTATAGAGACATTATTAAATCATTCTTAATTAAAGTAAAAACAGTCTTAGCCAGTGAAGATTTAAGATTTCAACTTCTAAAAGCCGATCTGCTCGAGTTTTTGGTCGAATTGAGTTAAGTACATATTCGGAATCAACAGAACGAGGTCTATATAAACTCTTTAGACAGTTTTAACGTATCTATGACGGAGCTGATTTAATACTAAATATAACTGAAATATCTAGGTCCTTGTATTAAAATTTACTTATCAAGACCGACATAACTATAGATATGAATAAGTTAGTCACGTTATTAAGTAATTTTATATCTGCAATTGGTATATTTATTACATTTATAATTTAAATATTTCGTTATTTATGATATTCATTTACTACTTGTTAGTGCAATATGTTTGAGTTATTGCCAATATTATTATTATTTATTAAAGATTACTAAAATTTTGTAGGCAGAATATTTTGTATTTGTAGGCAGAATAAGCAAAAACAATATACTTACGTGGCATAAAATGAAATAAATTGTCGATTTATTGCATTATAACTAGCACGGGGTTACGAGTGGAGTGAAATAATAGGGTTTAAAGTATGAAATTGCCGTTGTATAGTTATATATTGTGTGAGATTTTCGTATCTTTTTTCAAATGATACCTATGAGGTTCATCTTTAAAAAATGTGCAACAGCTTATACGTGAAAGATAGATACTTGGAAAATCCGAGTCATTTTTGAATACCAGTTACGATGCCGTACTAACGGCTCGGAGAGGTTTGGAGGGGAGACGGTTATGAACGCTTTCGTAATGGAAACTTCGGTTTAAAGAACGAATCAGGTGGAAGACCGCGCACACAGGTGAATAACGCTGAATTGAAGAAGGTGGTGGAAGCCGATCCGAGTCAAACTACCCAGGAATTAGTAGCATAGTTCGTGTGAGTTAACTTTTTTCATTAACAATTTGACATATTTCTAAAATTCAAAGATCTAAAATAATCTGAGAAAATGACACTGTTTCTTGTAGGTATCTAGGTAAGGTGTAAGTTTTTATAAAAGTTGTTCTATATAGCCCTTAAACTTGGATCTTTAAGAAACCTGCAATAAATACCTAAATAAAAAAAATGTGGTCGTAGTACCCACTTAATAATTTTAATATAATCTATTAGTACTCGTAAGTTTTGTATTATATTTCATTAGACGCAATTTTAATATTAAAGAATATTAAAATAAAGCTCACAATGCACATATTAATTATATTAGATAACATAATCTCAAAAATGATTATATGTTATTTTTGTAAACTATAGGTTTAAAAATTAGTAAATACTTAACTACTTTGATTAAAAATTATGGCATGTTTGTAGGACAGCTACTGTCATCTACTTAGCAGCGCAACTAGATTTGTTTATAGTGTGCTATTCTACGCATATGACAGTGCGGACTTATACTTTGGCGGAGAGGAACGCCTGCGTATGGCTAATTCCTATCGTGTTGCTCTATAGGGCACATATAATTATTCTTTTTTTAAATTTATAGGGCAACTACAGTAAAAACTCTATAAGTATTATGTGCGATTTATTCTTAAATAGACATAAATAAGAGAAAACCATAAATGAATTAAAAAAGTAGTAACCATAGCAACCGCCGACGCAACAGTAAACTATTATGTACGAGCTCTCTGTATAGTAAGGAAGTTTTTTTATGTTTTGCGCCAAAGTTATAAGCCATAAATCATGAATGAGAATATAGAACTGAAGACTTTTACAGTAGATGATTCAATAGAGAATGACATACAAGAGTATCATGAAATAAAAGAAGATACGACATTAGATGATATAGACACATCATTTTCATCCAAACAATCTATAATGCCGGTCGACGACTTTGAGTTTTTTACTCAATACGACGTAAAAACTGAACCTAAAAAATGTCTGAAGAAGAAAAAGACAAAAAAAAAGATTAATTCCTCTAATTTAATGGATATTATAAGCTCTGAGATCGCTGCAGCTATGGTACCGATAGCTGAGAATGTGATAACACGTGTAGATAGCTCAAACGAACAACAAAGCAGTTATTTACAGACAAATTTTAGGAGAAGTAAATTATTACATAAGACGAGATCATTTTTCTCCGATGCGGAAAGCGGGTAAGCAAGCATTAAAATGAGTACTAATTTTTCCTAGATTTAAAACCGTTTTTCAGGATAGACTAGTATGAGGCGATTTTTACTTGCTAAAGTCAAAGTGGTGTGTGTGTAGTGTCGTGTGATGCATTTATGGAGTGTAGAGGCAAGGAGAACCATCTCTGTGTATGAAAGTTTCGGTAATAAGGGTGGCGCTGTGGTAGCCTAGGATAAATTAATATTGGCTTATATAATATTTAGACACTGTGTACTAGACTGCGAAAATAGTCAATGAGTTTTACAGAAAATAAATAAACATTTAATAACTTTCAGACAGTAAAAGTATTATAATATTTTGGCTCAGCACACTTCACTCCGTCTACAACAGCTATGTTCTTATCGTAGTTTTTCGTACGCTAGTGACCTCTATTATTTTGGTATACAGCTGGACACTTTTTCAACTGGTTCGAGACACACACACACAGACACAACAACGAGATGGTTCCAATGCCTCTACCTACACTCTATAGATGTATTTTATACCATTTTGACAAGTAAAATACTAGAGGACAAGATGCTGCAAATAAATTAGGTTTTAAGTATAGTTTTAGACATGATACATGTAAAAGAAATACGTTTGCAAAGTTTTATTTCAACAATTCCATATTTTTAGGTGGAATCGAGAAACCCAGACTATTTATTTAAGTCCAATATTTCCAAGGGTCCTTGAAAATGCTGTTGTTGAAGACAATTTTATTCCAGTTGAATATGTGCACCCATCTTCGTATGATATTATGATTGCAAAACAGTCAGATGTAGACAAAGACATCACTACTAAATTCTTAGACGTGACCATTCAGAACATTATATTCAAACACCACTATAATTTTACTTTAGAAAAATTACTTTGTATGAAAGTAATCGAAATATTTAAGCAGTACGAAGTTGTTCGGAAAACATTAAAAGATTTGTCTAATAATATTAAAGTAAACAGAGAAACGAAAGATAACCTCAAGAAAGATCTAGCTAAAGTAAGTCCAAGTAAAAAGGAAAGTATAAGATTCGATCAAACTGTCAGAAAATATACGGAGAAACTTATAAAGCTGAAAGAAGAACAGAAAGACTTAATCAAACATAAGAAAGAACTTGCTCACAAAATAGTCTCACTCTGGTCAGATATAGAAATGGTAAGAGAAAAGAATGAGTGTATAGAAACTCCGTACAACATAGAACTTTATAAAAAGAAGTTAGGCTCGAAAGAGTTTGAAATAGAATGGAAGCAAACTTTTAATAATGAATTCACAGATAAACTTGATACCATTGAATACGAGTATGTAAGTAAATATCTAGAATATAAAAAGGTGAAACATGAACACAAAGTAAACGCTGACAATAAAGTGATGAAGCCACAATTGCATGTTGATGAAGATTCGATAAAAATGGAAGCTCAGGAACTAGCAGATATCATAATACAAAAAGATGAAATGGAATTGACATTAATAAAAGACGAAAGCATTATTACTGACTCTATGAGAATGGGCATGCGTTTAACCAAGAACTCGTATAATTTTGAAGTTTATGTAGATGACGTTTTTGTTTGTGAATCTGAACATTACCAGAGCAATGATATGTTTTGTGTAGAATTTACGGAAAGTTTCTCAGTGCAGATTTTACCTAAGAACAGCTGCATTAAATTAGTTTTATTAGAAAATTCTAATATTATTTCAGATCTGAAAATATACTTAGATGAAATTAAAAAAAACAATGCCACAAGTGTTTTTAATGTTGAAAAATTCGTGTCTGGTAATAAAATTGAGCCAAATGCTAACCATGTTGGTAGTGGATGTAGTATTAAGGAAATAGCAGTTGCAAATAAAGTAAGGCTAAGAAGTTGTAGTATTTTTAAAGAAAAGTTATTTACATCCTGTGAAGTTAACGTAAAGATTGGATGGAATGACAAAATAGATGTAAGTCAATCTGAAGCTATAAAATCTTCGATGCAAGTTGGTAGAGACTTAAAAAGATTAAGGGGTGGAATCATTAAACCTGACTTCAATATTTTGATAGATGTAATAAGTAAAATTTATGAGAAAGACGTTGACGATGAAAACATGATGGAAACTTTACAAAAATTAAGTAAATTAGAAATCAAAGTGGATGATTGTTTTCCTGTAGATCAGAGTAATCCCAATCTCATAAGACTAAAGTTATTACATTTAAGAAATATCGGCGGATTTAGTAATACAGATAATAAAATTGTTCCTCTGCATGCGAGTCAAATATCAACGGGACAGCTGAACTGTTTACAAAAAACGAATGAAAAAGAATTTGATATGGATTATTTAAATAACAGAGAAATGGAGATGGACCCTATTGAGATTCAGAGGTTTATAGGAGCCAAATACGTACAGAAATTAAACAAAAATATGATGAGAAATTTGAATGAATTTCTGCTTCAGAAGACTCATAAAGATGTCGTTAGAGATTCTAATTTAAGCTTAAGGTTCGTATAAAATGTTTCTTTTTAAAACATCATTAAATAAATAAGTGTCTGTGTAATTAATATTTATTAAACATAAAGTGGTTTGTGTATTTTGAGGATATTTCGCAGTCGTCTACATCCACAAGTTCTCAAACGCACAGTTGCAGCAGTTCACTTCTTGATACAGGGCACCTGACAGGTCCAAATTTGAACTAACATCTCTAAAATACACACATGATTAAAATCGTATTTTTTCAGCATCATGTCTAATTATTGCTTGAGCAACACTTCAAAATTTCAAACCATTCGCATGTTCTTGTGATTGTTTTGCCTCCTTAGTAGCATAATATTAACATACAAAGGAGCAGTACTAGGTATAAATAAAACTGCATAAATTACAGAAATATATTCTCCAACCATTCCAACGTATCGAGCATAACGACAATGTCAAATTCAGTCAAGCAGCAGATGCTGTCTAGATCCCTATGCAACGAGCAAGAGATACGCGTGACAATACTTCGTGCTTTCAACTTGCTAGACAGATTGTCTACAATATCAGAAGAAGAAGATGACAACGACGATAAGATTGCCGGTATGTTAAGTTCTTCTGACTAGTAAATGTGCAGTCAAGTCAGGACTAAATCGCGATAAAAGTTAAGTTCGTGGTCACGAATGGACTAAATTATGAAAGCGTCCTGATTTACACGATTAATATATACAATCTCGAATGTTTTAAAGCTTTTTTTGGGAGTCAAATACGTAATAAAACAATGTAATATTTAAATTAAAACATATTTCGCATGCACACGTTTTAAGGGGTTTCGAAATATTTCAATTATTAATAAAAGTTACGTAAGACCAAACATTATGGCAGTAAACTTCATGAGTTAACATTGACAGTGTTTGGTCTTCCGTGGTCTTAACCGAGCGGTTTTAAGTTTGATCCGGTTGCTAAATATCCATATACAGGTGAACAATAAATGAAATTCATCATCATTATCATCATTTGTTGTCAGTCAGTAATAAGTTACAACAAACATGTATTACCGGAACCGATTGCGGTACACGGTGCCGTTCTCGAAGTTGTTCAAAATTATGTCTACCTCGGGCAGACATTGCAGTTAGGTAGAAACAACTTCGAGGACGAGGTGAACAGAAGAATTCGGTTGGGTTGGGCGGGAAGCTATGTCGAGTCTTCTCATCGTCGATCCCACAGTGCCTTAAGACGAAAGTCTTTAATGAGTGCGTCCTACCCGTCATGACATACGGAGCTGAAATGTGGACACTTACGGTACGGCTGGTCCACAAGTTCAAAGTCGCTCAACGTGCTATGGAAAGGGCTATGCTCGGCGTTTCTCTAAGGGATCGCATCAGAAATGAGGTGATCCGGCAGAGAACCAAGGTCACCGACATAGCGTACCGGATCAGCAAGCTGAAGTGGCAGTGGGCTGGCCATATTAGCCGCAGAACCGATAACCGTTGGGGAGAACGAGTTCTTGAGTGGAGACCGCGTCTCTGCAAACGTAGTGTAGGACGCCCACAGGCCAGGTGGAGTGACGATTTGCGCAAGATGGCTGGCAGGAGCTGGATGAGAGAAGCCCAAAATCGATCTAAGTGGCGTGCAATGGGAGAGGCCTATGTCCAGCAGTGGACTGCGATAGGCTGATGATGATGATGATGACCAGTAATAAGTTTGGAAGTTCCTTGGGAATGTTATCGTTCTTCATAGTATGAAGTGAAAGATATTTGGAAATTCCAAAAACCCAGGGCTTTTTCGTCTTTTTTGATGACAAAGGAACATACTAAAAGTTATTAACTTACTTGAATTACAGGTTTCAAAGTACGACCATTGCGGCCTTTTGTTCGGATAAGCTATCGAGGAGTATCAGCTCAAACTGTTACGTCAATTGGCTGCCACCCTTCATGGAGCCATACTTTAAAGATTAAGGCCAAGTATGTACCAAGCCCAAAATTGATCTAAGTGGCGTGCAATGGGAGAGGCCTATGTCCAGCAGTGGACTGCGATAGGCTGATGATGATGATGTACCTATTTGCTGTTGCTTCATCCGTGTTAACGGTCATTTGGCTTAGGTCCTAATTGTTGTAACTCTAGCTATCAAATGTAAAAATATTGTTTCAAACTTTGATGAAATTAAGATTGTTGTAATTATTTCCAGATTGGAGCCACTTTCATCCATTCAAATCAACGTTTTCGATGAATATAAAACTAATATTCTCGATGGCTTCTCTGAGGAGGACCGCTCTAGCAAGACTGTGCACTACAGATATTATAACAAATGGCTAGGGACGTTACAAATACCGCTGTATGCTGTACTGTCTTTGGGTACTGTAAGTACATCAAAATTCAAGCTGCCTTCGTGGCTAGGCTGAGCTGACATAACAGCCCACCTTATGAAAATATAAATCTCACAAGAATTTTCTACTACCACAAACTCGCTGATTGACCTACTGGCCTCACTTAAATTTGACACATAGAATTCTTGTTTTATTCATACTTATTTGTAACTGAAGTGTGTGTTAGTATATGGTTTGTGTCAAGTTATCCTTTTCTTTGCAGTGATGTGGTCCTGCGTAGTTTGCTCACTTAGTCGGCTCTTACGACACCCACGGGATAAATAGGGGTGATGACATTCCGCATTCTTAATCCCTTACCTGCTTATCTCGCGATAAAAGAGCTGTAGGTAATTTTTAAATGTTGACTACGAATACACGCGTCTTTTAAGACTGCTGGTCTTAAGAAGTTAAATAAAATAGTCAAATAAAATCATTATTCCACATAATTTTGAGAACGAAATGCCTACTCTAAATTCTCTGGTACATTGTTTTAGTAAACGTTAGCTTTATACACTTAAAAACAAGTCTGGTTTCAGATTCGGGGCACATTCAAAATCTCAAGTCCACCACTATTGTTTGGATACGAAAACCTTCAAACAAAGGAGTCTACTTCATTAATCCCAGAAATAACTCAACTGATGAAAAAGGACACCTCGTTCATAACGCTGGAAGTAACTACGGGCCTTTCACATTTGGGAGGATTACATGCTTACAGCCAGCCCTTACCTTGTTCTATAGAAGACGGTTATTTGATCAAACACCTCAATAATTTCGTCACTGAATACATAAATGAGTTTCCGATGAGAAATATTTTGCTGACCTTCATAGACAGTGCTGGTAGAAATAAGTGTGTGACACAATTTCTGCAGCCGATACCACTACCAGATAAAAACTCCTTCCCGAAAGCCCAAAGATGTGAGTCCGCAGTTTCAAAGTCCTCAGGATTTTCGAAGAGCTCGTCTTCGAGTGGAAGAAGGAGAGAGCTGGACTTGGAGAGAGCGGGACAAGAGGAGAGGGAGTCGCTATACAGTGGTGCTGTACGTGATTCAGATAATTTGTCGCAGATGATTAATACGTGTTTGCGATACGTCTCCCTTATTCCTACTTATGAGTTGACTGAATCTCATGTGGTAACGTTATTGGGACTTGTAAGTATAAGTTGTGCTTCCCAGCGAATTTTTTTTTCATATTTAAGTAACAGAAATGTTATAAATTATAAATCATTTCTTAATTTTCTACTCGTGGGAGTAGTATTTTTTCTTCTAACTTGAATGAGACCAAACGAAAAGTAAGTATTAAAAAATATTCAAATCAGTTCATTAATAAAGGAGTTCCGAGGTAATAAACATAAAAACAATCGATTTGAAATTCTCCTCTTTTTTCTGAAAGTCGGCCAAAAATAGGTTTTTATTTATTAAACGTTACAACCGGTCTATGTATAGAAAATTGGTTACAATAATAACTAGTGACGTCACATCGTGTTATTTTAGCACACTTTAAATTTTACTAGGACTGTAATAATTTATTTAAACCATCGAAAAGGTTCAATGCTGTTTTGCCATTTAAAGTCACAATTTGCTATTTCACAGGAGTTAATTAAAGTCCTGCATGGGTCTCCATTTGACCACACAATACTTTTAGCCAGTCTCTTCATCTACCTCGGCATCAAATGTTGGGTGGCCATCGGCCTAGGTCTACCCCGAGGAAAGAGCAGCTATGTACTTATAAAGTACGATCTTACAACAAGAAGAATTGTGTTGGATACCGATCAGTTGTTCAGGAGCAAGGGCTTCTTGAATAAAAGTGATGGATATACTTGGTACGTGTGTGATGCAAGTACAGGACAAAGACATGAGCTCAGAGACGTCGGGTGTCCACTGAAAACTGTTGATTATGTGTTTGACAACGAAAATGTGAGTGTACTACTATCATTAATTACTAAATTATCTTTATTTGTTAGTTTTTAGCATGTATATGACAAAAATAGATTAAGTAATTTACATCACATCACATCAACAGCCTTTAATAGTCCACTTCTGGACATAGGTCTCTTCTTAGAAAGGATGTTTTGGCCTACTATACCACGCTGGCCAGACGGGTTGGTATAACCCTATACCAACCCAACTTGACACAAACCCTTGTGTCAAGTTTTCCTTCTTTTTACAGTGCTGGTGTCCTGCGTTGATTTGCGCCCTTAGTCGGCTCTTACGACACCCACGGGGTGAATTGGGGTAGTGACATTCCGTATTCTTAATCCATCACTACACGATCGTAGTATTTAATGAAACTTATCTTTGTGAGGATTCAGAGGAATAGAACTCTTTTGCTTGTTCTGTTCGTAAACAATACTCATTGCTAATTTAAAGGAATCGTAAATGAACAAAAGAATCCAAAATAGGTGCCATCTCCAATTTGACAAAACCTTTAATTTTTTGGGTGTCTTGGACTCCATTGGTCTTCTATATAACGCATGCGTCATTCAAATCCAAATAGCTCTTACAATGTTCTTATAAAACCGGGTAAACTGTTTCTAATTTCTAAATGTTTCCAGATATGGGTCAATAGACAGGTGTCACAAGATTGCGAGAGTATATCATTTGATTTCTCGAGATCCTCGGATTGGCAACCAGTAAGTCTCTAAAATATCTGTTTTGCGTATATAGACACACCTCTTTGCAAAGGGTACATCATCAATTGCCTGTTGCAGTCTCCTGATTCGCGCCATTAGTATCATGTCCGGCGCCGCGTTATTTAAGTCGATTTTCAAACGGACTAGAAGTTTATAGATTCGTTTTCTCTGCTCTAGAACCTGTCTATGCCCAAGGGGCTCCTTTCTCGGCATGTTTGGACAGTCCATTGAAATAAAAAGAATTAAGATACACAATGACACTTCAGCATCTTTTTTCTTGGTAATTTTAATTCTTTGTGACATGAACTTATGTTCATTTTATTATTCGGAGAAACTAAACCTTCATAGTAAAACATAGATAGGGAGAGCGATATTTAAAGGGAATTCTACTGAGCAGAGCCGGTGTCAAGGTGTCAGTCTGAGCTCGTTTTTTCCAGACACCCCTAAAATTTCTAATAGGTACTAGTATCAGCTGATAATACTCCCTGTAATCCCGCACTTCCGATATGAACAGAAGTTAAATTTAACACAGTTAAACTGAAATAGGTGACTGATATATGCTTTGATGAGCCATGGTACACCTGGTACCCAAGCTTGATGTGAGTCGACAATTTACTAACCCAAAGTTAGGCATACCTATACGTTTGACTATTATAATTATCTAGTTAATATTTAAATGACATCAATCAGGTGTTCGACAAATCTGTATTCGTGATGAAGCAGCCGGTAGTGACGGATCTTTCATTGTATTCCCCACCACCCAATGTGGAAGGGTTAAGAGCTGCACTCGAAACTAAAATCAAGGCAAAAATACAGAAGTGGCGATCGCATATGAAGACCATATGGAACAGGTGAGTTACAAAGTACTATTTTAATCGAATTGGCTGATAAATTCAATCGATACATGGATATTAATCAAGTTAGGCAAGGAACTTGTGGCACCAGATAATGCTCGTGTATGCATTCAAAAATAAAAAGGATAGTTGCGCAAGCGCAGGCATTTGACTAAAATAAGTAAGGCTTTAATTTTTTTTTTCATTATTTCTACTTTAAGCTGTCACAAAAATGTTTTTTTTTTTCTGTGTGGAAATCCCCTCGAATACTACCGGTGGGATGGTCATTTTGGAGTCGAACCGACCAAAAACAGCACGCCGTCTCGGTTACCACTTGCCGGGGACCAGCTGTACCCTAGAAAGGAAATCTCTAGCACACGCAAACCTGCCTGATATTTGTATATGAATATATTCATATTTCCACCGTCTCAAACTGTTTTATATTTCTTTAGGTACTGCAGCACGCTTCTTAGAGAGATGTTACCACAATGGGAGTACTGGTCTTTTAATCCAACGACACCAAAGCCGGGGTTTACCAATAAGTTGAAACAGCTAATGGTTACATACAAGGTATATTGACAAACTGGCTTTAAATTACATAAATGCTGTAGATTGCTTAAAGATGAATTCGTTTCATATTTATTTGTAGAACACATATTGAACAAAAGAAACGAAAATAAAAACATTTATACACTCAAGTATGTGTCACGCATTGCCGTTACGCCACACAACAGTTCTTACCGTGGGAGAGCCATGCTTCGGCACGAATGGGCCGGATCGACCGGGGTTATACCACGGCTTCACAGAAAACCGGTGTTAAGCAATTCTTTCGTTGCCTTTCACTTAGTGAGTGAGGTTACCGGAGCTCAAATCCCCCCTCCCGCTGACTCGAGCGGGAGGGACTCCAAGGGCAGCAACGCACTTGTGACTTTTGAGTTGCAGGTGTCCATGGGCGTCGGTAGTTGCTTACCATCAGGTGACCCGTCTGCTCGTTTGCCCCCTTATACCATAAAAAAAGTTGTGTTCTATACGCACTGTCAACTATTCACAATACTTCAGTGCTGAAAACACACTACGTACATTCTTTAGCAGTCTAAGGTCTATATATTATAGGCAGCATATTATAATATTTGTAGGTGTTCTTGGAAATGACTTTAAAGATTCCAAGTATTAAGATTTCCAAGTACGAAACGATAATTTGTTAGAACTTCTGGTCAGGGGGCGGAGCTTGATCGATGGTAACTATTTTCGTAACGTGAATGTACCATAGATGTTTACTTATTAACATTTCTATTGGCGTACAATAAAGTTTATTTTTCAGTGCATACTTAAATTTCAGATGTCCGGCTTCCCACTCAACGTGTCATATACGAACACGAAGTCGGTGATATCAACGGTAAAGTCGACAGGTCTGCACGTGACCGACGACCCTAAGGTAGAGTTCGCCCTCGGCGTGGAAGTGTACGCCTACCCTAATAACGTCATAAGTGTCTGGATATTTCTCGCCACCATTACCAGGACATAAATAAATAATATATCATTTGTGTGATTATTCTTTCCCATAAATTATGTTAAGCTCCGTCTGGCAATAGTTCGATTTACATATATGCAACCCTGACCTGCTCACAGTATTGGCTCCACTCCGCAACCTTTCCTTGTAAGAAATATTATTTTACTATCTTATTCCAAGAAGTGCATCTTATTAAGTGAAGAAGTTAAGTGAGACTAAAATTATTGGGTTTGTTTTCCTTTTTTTTAAGTTAGAGGGGGCAGATGATCAGACGGGTCACCTGTTGGAAAGCGACCATCGCCGCCCATGAACGTCTGCAACTCAGGAGTCCCAACGCCTTTTAGGTTCTTTTCTTTTCTAATTCCTAGAATTCATTTTTCTCAAACGTCAACTATTTGGAATGTCAAGATCTCTTAATGGTCATAAAACGCTGTGAAGGAGTACTGTGGGAACTTCACATTTCGGAAATCTGAGATCCCATGAGGTGGACGAATATGTATCTGACAACCTTTTCGGAAATATAAGCGTGAGTGTATGTACGTATAGTATTGTTTTTTAACGACAATCGGGTGACGCAACTCGGCACCCAACAGATCAAATTAGATTCTCGAATACGTCATCGGAAACATGCTAAAATAAGCATGTGCTAATGGGAAACCGAAATGTTCAAAAAGGTAAATATTTGGGTTAACACCGACCATCTAACAAAAACTTTACAGAAGAGCAATATAAAATTTTTATTTTTAAAACATCTCTCTGGATACTATAAAATCAAGTTTTTTTTTAATTTAAATAAAAAATAGAGCTTGTATGTCTTTTCGTTTTAATGCTAACAAAATAAAATTAACATTTATTCCATCGTAGTATAAAAATATACGTAAAAATAGAAAAAAGGAGATGCTTACACGTGTTTTAGCGATCGTTATGATATTTGAAGCCCTAAGCGCGAGTGGACACTGTCCGTTCGCTTGTATCATTCAGTTCCGGGCTGACTTAACCTAAGCGCAGTGGTGGCGGAGGGCTGCTTAGCTCCCCGGGTCGTCGGTTTTGTTTAGTTTGGAGCGGCGCAGTTGCTGGATGTAGTGGCGCTGGATGGGCTTGTGCAGCGCGAGTTGCGCGAGCGCATCGTCGATGGAGAACCATTGGCGCTTGCGGCCCATGAGTCGCGAGTCCTCCCACTCCGCTAGTTCTTGAGTTACCGTCATCACGTACACTTCTGTTCGGTGTTTGTGCTCTCGGTTCTGGAATGTAATGAGAAATTAATTCAATTAGTTATTTTGCACTTCGTAGGATTGGAGAGGAAACTGGTCACATCATTGGAATACATAATCTCTTACCGACATCTAATTCCTAGAATAATTCATTTTCCTCAAACGTCAACTGTTTGGAATGTCGAGTTCTCGTAATGGTCATAAAACGCTCTGAAGGAGTACTGTAGGAACCTCACATTTCGGAAATCGGTGATCCCATGAGGTGGAGGAATATGGATGGTGGGGATTGAACATATATGAATCTTATTGTTCGTTAACTAAAAAAATTGTTCCCGCACTAGGTGTAGTTAAGTTGGGGAATTCGCAACCAGATAGACAAATTCATAAAATATTTTGGCCTGGTACCTCAAGTTAAAACATTAGCATTAGAAACTTTTATTCAAGTTTCAGAAGCTATGGTATCAACTTTAGTATTATAAAAGTAATTTATTCATAAAAAAAGTTTACAGGTTTAAATAATAAATTAATACTAACTAGCTGACCCTGCAAACGTTGTTTTGCTATTTACATTATTTAAAAATGTTTTTTTTTTCTTTTTTGAATTTCTTAAAATCCGTTCTTAGCTGACCTCTACTCGGTGAAAAGAATATTCCTACCAAATTTCAAGTCTTTAGCTCTAATGGTTCCAGAGATTTCGTGATGAGTGACTATATACGTGGAAATCTCTTATATATATGTAAAGAACAATAATATTGGTTCTTTAATTTGAATCTGCTGCGTTTAAGATCGTCGGTAATGTAGTGCGTGTGAAGTGGATAAAACAGAGTAAGTTTTGAGATTATGTCATGAAGAGTGTCAAATACAAAAAGGATTGACAGAAAAGTGAATTGTAAAACGTAGATTAAATTATTGAGAGAAAATAATAAAATAGAATAGCTAGTGAAGAATAAACTTTAATGTCGTTTCTTTGTTTACAGGTAGGTGTTGTATTATAAGTACCTAATAAAAAAAAAAAAAAAAAAAAAAAAAAAAAAAAAAAAAAAAATTGTTTACAGAGCAACACAGTTTATATCAATTACTAGCCCTAAATTGAAGAACCAATCTTATATATATATATAGATTAGCTGTGACTTGGGACAGAAAGCCAAATCTAGGTTTAATGAAACTTCACGGTATTTGTGTATAAAAATTAGTATTATGGATTCAAAATCTTGTTAGCAACAGGAAATAATGCGATCACGTAGTAGGCATTACATTTACCTTAGATACCACTAAGCCTGACAGCCCGTGTTCACGGCTAATGCATCCTATTCGGCACGTCAGGCAATTCAAAGGTACGTGACACCTTTAAGTTAAATATATGTCATGAAACGTGAAAGTTTAAAAACATAGAGCCTGGTTAGCCGGCGATACATAAGATAACATTGAAATATATTTAATACTAACTGAGACCCGCGGTGTTACCCGCGTTTGTTGTTATAACCGCGGGCAACGCCGCGGGGCGAAGCTAGTCTAAAAAAAGTAGCCTAAGTTACTCCTTATGTCATCAGCTATCTGCCAGTGAAAGTTTCGTCGAAATCGGTCCAGCCGTTCCAGAGATTACCCGGAACAAACAGACAGACGGACAGACAAAAATTGTAATAAATGCTATTTTGGCATATGTACCGTGTAAACATACATATGCATTTAGTAAAAAGCGGTTATTTTAATATTACAAACAGACTCCAATTTTATTTATTTGTATAGATTGTATATATAGATAAAGGCTATCTAATAGTCGGTAACAGCGACTTCGTTCGCCTGCAATTTAAAAAAAGAGACGTGTGGCACTCGGGGACTGCCGCGGTAAAGCTATTGCATAGCATTTTTTATCAACTTATGCAATTACAATTATTTATTTATGCAGTATTTTTCTTCCTTTGTTTTTTTTTTCTTTGATATTAATTAGATTGCGGGGCGAAGAGGGGGATTACGCATGCGCAGCAACGCCGATACAACACACATACAAAGAGACAAGCGCGATATTTCAAAAAAGTCATTAAAAGTTCTGCTATTCATCGATAGATGGCAAAAGTAAAAAGTATCACGTGGGGTGTGTTAGGTTATTTTCGTTACGGAATTTCTGGATTAGGTCTCCACGCTCAAGGCCCGAGATAAAAGCTAAGCAATAGCTTAAAACGCTGTGTTAGTGGTGTAGTATGGTACGCGACTGCAGTAAACAGTATCGAACCAGGTTTTGTTTTTCTTAATACTAAATCTACTAGTTTCGAAGACGTTTAGATGCAAGGGAGTAGGTAAAGATCGTTCCTTATTACTAGGACCTGGAAAACTCTGCAAACTACATCGATGGATGAAACTACATATAAATACACGAAGAAATTGAGCATTCAATAACGGAGTTAACAAATAAACAAAATTACAGTGGGCTTGGAAATAATTTCCCCCTTTTCATTATCATTTAAAATAAACGAGTATTAGTGGTTAAGTTTATTGTGGACATAAAAAAAAATATGCATTCTTGTTCGAAATATTTTTTAATCTCTCATTGGTCACAATATGAAACCAGTGGTTTCGATAAAGGGAGAAGATTCCATCATCGAAACTATCTATACAAATAAATAAAATTGGAGTGTCTGTTTGTAATATTAAAATAACCGCTTTTTACTAAATGCATATGTATGTTTACACGGTACATATGTCAAAATAACATTTTTTACAATTTTTGTCTGTCTGTCTGTTTGTTCCGGGTAAACTCTGGAACGGCTGGACCGATTTCGACGGGACTTTCACTGGCAGATAGCTGATGACATAAGGAGTAACTTAGGCTACTTTTTTTAGACTAGCTTCGCCCCGCGGCGTTGCCCGCGGTTATAACAACAAACGCGGGTAACACCGCGGGTCTCAGCTAGTTAAAAATAAATTTCTTGTACGTAACCGTAAGTTCGTAAAAAGAAAAGAAAATCTGAGTTCGAATCAGGTTTCGTAGAGAGATCATTTTTTCCTTCTCCTCGACTGATTACGAACCATCGGTTAAAAAAATAAAAGCGAGCCTGACTCGTGAGCCGATGGATGCTTATAACATCGTATGTAGATCATTGAGTTAAAACAACACTAGAGAAGCAAACCTCATTATCACACGTCGAAAAAAGTGTAACCACTTTTGAACTTTGACGACGTAGCTTTGATACCACTAAACATTTGAAAGTAAACATATTTATGTCTCATTTACACGCGAGACAAGAACAATACCATCGCTCGGATTAGACAAAGACAAAGATATAACTTTACGATGGTGGGCCAGTGTTGACTACCGTATGAAATTTTACCCATAACAACTAAGAAACAATTTTTTTTAAAACAATTTTGTAATAAAATAAATTAATTTAAATATTCTAAATAATATATTTCGAATGGAATAGAATAGGTATAAATAATAAAATAACTGGAAATATTTGGTTAAAAGGGTTTATATTCAGTGTAAAATCAAACTGCGCTGTGAAGCATCAGTTTTGTATACAATTGTCTTTTAGACTCTTTTTTATAAGTTTGTGTGGATATTTTACTTTCATGATACAATCTTATTTTCACGTATGTAAAAATAATAGCATTTAATAATAAAAGTGAATGATCAACTTGTACTGATAATAAATAATCCCCAGGGTGTATTGCAAATTCTATTATAATTTAAAAAAAATATATATTTTTATTTTATAAAAAAAATTATTTATGTTTATTTACTTTTTTATTTTATATTTATATTTTTATGATAAACATTTATTATTATTATATTTACATTTTTTATATTATTTATTATTATTATTATTTTGTACAATTATTATTTAAAATTGATAATAAATTAAGAAAAACAATGAATTATTTTTTTTGTACAAAAGTCTCCAGCACTGCGAGCTTGGCACTTCTGCCAAGCTCGCAGTGAACGTTTAACGGGTCCCTAAAAAAAGGGATCGGTCCAGCCCTAACAACTACCGTTCTTCCTATATTTTATTATTATTGGCAAAATGTTTAAAAACAGTATAAAGCATATTATTTCATAAATTATAAATTCTCCCACTAATGTGGGAAAACCAAAATGATTTTTTAATGGTAACACTGATTCTAAATTACAATTATCAGTGTTTTATTTCAATTATAGCCTTATTTACGATATTATCAATACAAAAACCATAAACTTACACGTGAAAAGTAATTCCGCATGATTTATTAATGTTTTGTGACCTTGAATCGCATTCTTTCACTACGCATTTAGCCATTTTGGCGATTGTTACTGTCATGTGTCGCTATGTTCAACTCGGTTGACGCCACATTGAATAATGAATTGACGTTTGCTACGCATATGCCTGTGGACATATGTGCAGTAGCAACGATTTTAGGCGGTAATTACTCATCTATGTAAGTATTATATCAATGATGTAGATAGTTCGTCCACATCGGGGTTCGATTCTCGAAGTTTCCCGCTTTTTACGAGTGACAAACTTAACTTTAACGTTTTAAAGTATATAAGTACTTCCGAGATGTTTTACTTTATATAAACTACCTTTTTAATACTTGTGAATGAATACGTCTTTCCATTATTTCCATATAACTTCTAAATAAACATTTTACATCTATTTTTTAAAGGAGTATTTATTTATTTGCATTTGAATTAAATGAAACAATAATATCAGGAAATCAATATACACAATTTTCCTGTCGAGTTGAAATAATTATAAACTACGCAATATATTCGTGGACATAGCAGAACATCACGTATATTAATTACCACACCACATACATTTAATTTTGCGAACCGCGCCAATTTAAATAGACAGTATACCAAAGTTGATATTCTATACATATATAGGTATATTTGTTGTCAAATATTAAAAACAACATTTAGATATTTTTAAAGAACTCAAATATAAACCTAAAAAAACAATAAACCAAGCTCGTTATTAAATTAGATAAGGAAAATATTCAGGACATCCATTACCGCCCCTGATCCCGAGGACAAGTCAAATTATCCCTAAGGTTTTCAGGAGCGAAAAAGTGCATCAAGGGCAGTATTTTGTGTCAATTATAAAGAAATATATAGGCAAATAATAATCGTACCCTTTTTTTCTTCCCGTGCGGAA